ATAACGCCCCAATGGTATGTTAATCAGAAGGCGAATACGAAGCGTTGATTACATTTATTACGAGACCACGCACATATATCCAAAATTACAGATGCGTTAAACAAGCATAGAAGAGTTGTGCCGAAAGGCAAGCAAGCAAGCGAGGGAGTCAGAGAATATGAATACGAGCAATCGAGTACAATCAAGCGAGCGAGAGCGAGAGAGAAAGAGCAATGAATATGAATAACATGGACATATATATACGTAGTGAAATGAATGGGTCATCGATGCAAATAAGTGGTTAGTAGTAAGGCTAGCATCGGGAATACATGCGTGAGCTGTAAGCATTATTCAATCATACATGTCCATACATTCGCAACAGTAATAAAGATAAAATGATATAGATAAGTTGGTGTTAGGATTACTCAGTTCGTTAACAAGTTAATAAAATGACTTGACCGAATTAATTGTGAAGAAACTCAATTTCACGTGATCTGTTATAGATAAATGCACCTGATGCCGACCTAAATCACATTTCTATGAATATCCCAAGCCTACCAAATAAAAACATCCTGCCCGACCCTTACCACTTTACCTTACGAGGCAATCCATGACAAATAATATATCAGTGAGTCGATAAGAGTGTAATGTCACATTAATGTTTGTAACGGGAAGAGGACAATGAAAACCCCTCTGCAGTTTTTTATTGGACAGTACTGTCATTTATTTGTTTCGTCTCCCTGACGTGTATTTTAACCTTTGTTCAGATCTCGTTTAATCACACCTTTCGTTCTTCAGTCATCCTCGTCTAGGCTTTTATCATGTGATTTCGGTTAAAGACTTGTGTTTTGTTACCTAATTTCTTATTGCATGTTACCGGACTATTGACAGTAAGGTCATGTTTCACTAAGCAGAAGGTCACAGAGCGATTCAGTGTGTGACTGTTAACCATTTGACTGCCTGCTTGGGAGGATTGCTGGAATCCCTGCAGATAGATATTTGATCCCATTTTGTTGGGAATATTTTTATTGATTCTCAGGTATCGATTCCTTTGGCACTAACCGCTTCTTTTATTGTTTAGCGCACTACTTTGCGTTCGAGAAACTTCTGACTGTATAGCACAGGCTGTACCGTTTGAGATATTTTGTATTTCTGATATAATTTGTTCTATTTTCTAAATTAGAACCGTTTAAGTTAAGTAAGGAGTTTGTGTTTTGATAAAATTTAGTACGAGTATCTCAAAAATGCTTCGTAAGCTATACAGAAGAAATTAGTCTGGCCTATTCGAATAAATTTTGGTTCGTCAGTCCTGCGTTCTAACCGAATACTGGAAGTTCGGTCGTTAAACTAAGTATTATCCTTTGGGTGCGACTTCAATGTAACGTAGGAAGTCATTCCATTCCAGTTCGACCGGGGTAGACTAACAATCCATATAGGTCATCTGTACTGGTGTTCCATAAGTATTTTGTTCTGCCGTTCGCCAAGTAGCATTACCGTATTACTGGTTTTTCCTACTGCAAATAACCATCCTCCTTCCTAGTAAAGTGATAGCTACTGATATCCAGAAACTCAATTGCCTTGAGACAAACGCATTTACTCAAACTAAAAAATATGCAAATTCACAAATAGCTACCAATGTGATTAGAACTAGTGCAGCCGAGTGGTTATACTGTCACACGCTGAACATCACAAGATAACGGAAACCCGGCCGAAACAACAACAATTTGGCTTAAAGAAACTGGTCGGTTTACAGAGGCCCTCAAAAAAGATACGACTTATTGAAAACAACTGAATCAGTTTCAAAAGATAGACATTCATGGTAATGCAGGAATGTTTTTTCACACTTTGTGGGTATATGTGATGATTAAAAGTATACTTACTTTCTAACTAGGAGTACCAAGATATTACAATTTAGGGTGGATGGAACTAGATGAGTACAACTAGATGTATATTATAGTTGTAATTCGTACGAAGTACAAAAGAATCATCAGTTAATGTAAATGCAATAAGCCTCACAGCTTCAATAGGAATCCAGGTTTCTGGAATCTACTTCTTCTCCTTAGGTCCGTCATGCGTCTGTCTGACTGTATATTGAATACAGACTCTGGATGATCTAGAATGTATTTATAAGTGTTAAAATTAACTCACCTGTGCCCTTGTAACGTATTCGGTTGTTATAACTAGCTTGCATATGAACCATAGTTTTATTGACCTGTTTTAGTAAACCTTTCCTAGATAGTGGAAAAGCTCATGTACGAAGATTTTTTGTCTAAGTAATTTTATCGTCGTTCCTTTTGCGTACTATTTGGCGATTCCTTACTGAACGACTTTACCTACCCTCTTCTTCAGGGTTTTGAATTTCGTAGCCGTATTAGAACCGATGTTTGTTTTCACGGTCTGGACATTTTCTGCTTGTAAATCGAAATGAGAAGGCTTTGGAGTCGTGCACGATTCCCTGATGATGTGATTATCATTTTATTTAGCATTTCATTAGAACCGCTGGCAAGACCTTGATTCATGAACGAACCAATCATATTTACGATTGCGGGTCTTGCGTTTTGGCATAAAATTCATTCGTCTATATGGTTAAATAGCATTTCGGCATTACAGCTGATGTCAGTTTATGACGAAAATCCCGATCCCAATTTATAATTCTAATATTTCATAGTTCCTCACACTGATTCTTAACAATCATTCAATCCTAGTAATGAGGTGGACATTCTCAGGGTCAATTTGTCATCACCCAAAAGTCGTCCATAGATTATAGTCTCACGGGACCAAGAAGAAATGAAAGTATTTGAATGACTAATATTAATTATACTGAATATTGATAATCTCACTGATTTTCGTACCCCGGTTTCACTAAAATTTTGAACTTCTTTACTTATAGCTGTGACCTCGGGCACGTCGGATTCACATTGTTTGGTTTGGCATTTTGGAAGTTTTGATCCGGAAATCTGAAAATTGAAGGTTTGTTGCATAATTATAGATTCTAAGCCAACCAGGAAAAAGTAACCAGATATTGAATAATAAGTTTAAACATCGTGGATTTTACCATTTCTTTAAGTCGCCATCTACGCCAACTTAATTTATCCCTTCTTCAAAATCGGTAGTTACATATACCCATCTGGCTTTTAGTTCAGTGTAACGTACAACTAATGGCCGGTTCATGCTTCGGCATATAAGCTAAACCAACTTTCGCGGAATTGGGAAAAATCATCACGAATGATCTACGACAATTTTGTTGCTTTAAATTTAAGAAAAAGCCGTCACAACAACTGATCACGTTATTTGTGTTCTATTAATGCAACCTTTAAGTTATGGTCTTTGTATATTGAAATGTAAAGTTAACCGATTTGATATCGGTATCCTGGTGACAAAATACGGTTAGAAGGGAAAAAACTCAATTGATTTGGTCAGAGACTCTGTATCATATATTAGTATTGTCATTGCTCTGCGCATTACGAATGAGAATGAAATTGCTGCAGATAGCCTATTTATTTAAATTATCGTTACTAAAATGATCCATCTCAAGCCTTAAATGTTGAGAATCTATAACAGAAAAAATCTTCGGCACAAAATCAATATTCTGGTTCACATTCATCATTAAATCATCCTCCTAGTAGCACTGTCATCATACCACCTTATGCAGTATTTTACCATCGAAGAAGTGTTAATTAGAATTTATGCATCAAAAATAGACGTTTGCATGCGGTGACTAACTTCAAAGCTTATTCTTAACGATTTCAACACACACCATGATAAAGCATAAAAAATCTATACCTTGAAATAGCTTTTATACCATGCCCGTCTGTCTAAGCCATAGAGTCAAAAGGGGAACGGATCAATATGTCAGCTGTCACAATCAAAGTTTCATGTGAACAAAAATGATATGAAGAAGAAGACCAGTAGGAACATTAAAAAAATACATAAGACAGCAGTAATTGTCTCATATAGAGTGAAAAGGTCAACAGAATATACAGTTAAAGAGAACGAGAAGCAATATATCACATTTTGGAAGGAAGCGGGTACTTCGCATTCAAAAGTATATCAAAAATTTACATTAGAAAAACTTGTACTTGGGGGAATTTTCATACATGTCCACGCAAAACTTCAAAAAAGGTCTTACATGTAGGAGCATTCTTTTTCTTGTGGAGGTACATAAGTCCACAAGCTCTGTAAGTCTTTATTATTCGATGCTGACCGCATTAACTTTAATAGATTCACCTAGCTGAAGGCACTCGATCATGCATCCGTGCTAGATCTTGAGTGAGCACTCCGTGCTTCATTCCCCCTACAACCGCTAACCAGCTTGAATCAGTCACTTTCTGATATATCGACATTCTATCAAATATATCTTCGAGCCTCTTCGTTTCTAACTTCTGATTTCATTGAGTTGGTAAGTTTACATTATAAAAGGTGTTTGTGGTTTAGGTGTTATCAAACTCCGAATACTTGTGGCGTCTTTATTCTCTCGAAAGTTCGTGGACGGTCAAATTTGTGGCACGAGACATTATCTTCTGCTTATCAGAAAATTTTTGCTTTCCTGCTGTCTGTTGTATAACTCTTTCAGTATTGTTGCAAAACCAGTGCTGCACAGTAGCTCTGTAACAAACTCGATGATCTTGAAACCTCTCCAAAGTGTTTTATCCGACAGTATTACTATTTTTTAAAATCTCTTTGTCTTTTATACGACAGCATTTATCCAGGACCTGTATAACTCATTTTTACATCTGTTTCTCCTAATTTATTATTTACAGAAAGGCTGTTCTACATATTCAGACTGCGTGCAGAGGATCTTCTTAGGTTACGTTTTGACTGTTACATAACTCCATTTTTCCTTCCTATTTAACATGAGTCTAAATACCGTCCTGAGTTATCAAAAAGTCATTTTAATATAAGGAATGCCTTTCAAAAGTTTTGAGACAAGACACAGACATTCTCTCAACAAAAATAAAGCAATAAAGTCTGTGTATATATCCTGACTTACAATTGGATTTTGAGCCGGTACATTGGAGTAAGCTACAGTCAGTGTTGGCAACATTTGGTGATATACGCTACTTTTATATCGTCCAGTGGTGGTTGTTGTGGTCTGCTTTACGGTGTGAGGATACTTATTTCCTATCAAAAGACTTAAGAATGTGGCAGGAAGCACGCAAGCAGGAGAAACATATCAAGACGCTGATGGTTGATTATAAGAGGAGAGCAGAGCGGAGGAGGGATTATTATGAGCGCATTGTAAGACTGTTATACATAATACATCCTTCTTAGAAACAAGACCCAATTAAATTCCTTCGCTTGTTTGGTAGATCTTCAAAGCTCCATCTGGATTCTGAAGTGACGAAGGCTGCCGAAAACCCCAATAACATGTAATTTCATGTCATTTCAATGAAACCCATGTATACACTGCAACATCTGCTTACTTTTATTTATTAAAACTAGTTTTAGGAATTTCTCTGCAGATTGATATTGGTTTTAGCAGGTTTCTTGGATTTATTCACAGTAAATAGCTATGAATTGTCCTAGTTTGTTTTAGTGGCCTTATGAGGAATTCACTGCTTCCATTTATACTTTCTTATGTTAGTACAGCTTTCTTGTGAACATAGTTTTGATGGCCTTAGTCTATAATCCAGGGTTCTTATTTCGGCGTACTTGAAAATCATGTTTCTATGCTACCGGGTTTCGGTCGCGTAATGTATGCCTGTTGATGCTCATTTTTGTTAAAATCAAAGTGTAACTGAAGCAGTATGTATTTTTCCACAGAAAGGAATCGTTATCGGTAAAGCCAAACATATTCAGCATCCATATATTGTTAAGAATAATAAACTAGTGAAGCATATCTTGATAGGCTAATTTTCAAAGGTTGACTTGCTTATTAATTAATTTTATTCATGTTAGATAATTTATAGGATTTATGTGACAGTAGTTGGTAGGATTACTCATGTTTCATCCGAAAGATGGGTTTGACTAAGCCCATGGTTAGAGCACTTTATCCAACAGATTGCAAATCTGAACCTCGCTTTCAGTTTTGTATGTCAAGTGACACCGCTAACCTTTATGCAGTTCTTTTCAAAGCTAAGTACATGGGCATATACCTGGTTATTAAATTACACTCGGCATGGAGTGATTATTCTAAATTGAGAACAAAAATTATCACTTTTATTGGCGTATTCAGGCATGTCGTTTAAGATCCTTATTTCCGGACACCTCTTGTGTTGTATGCCATTTTGAATTAAGAGTACAAAGAAATAGATTCTAATAATCTATTTATCATCTGCCACTAGGTTTTTATGACTCCATGGAGCAAGCTATCTGAGGTTGAGTAACAGGATTTCGCTTTACTCTCAAGCTTCTGAGACCGAAATGTGATAATCAGATAATATAGCTTTTAAAGTGAATCATACGGCGAGACTATAATTTATGAGCGAACTAACCAGGTATAAGGTAACAGGTATCCATTTGGCTAAATAGAGTTTTGGTATAATAGCTGATACCAGTTCGTGATGAATACTTTAAATCTAATTCTTAACCTTAACCATCAACTGTAAATCATAATTCTAATTCCACACACTGGTTTATAACCCTTATTTGGTCCTTGTTATTACGTGGACACTGAATATCAATTTAGCGTCACTCAAAGGTCGTCCATAAATTATAGTCTCATCAATCATACTCTTATTACTATTATTTATTGTCAACAGTGGTGTAAGCCTATGTTGCACAATTGAAAATCAGCCATAGTGACCCAGAGATTCATCATTTGTTCTCCTTAAAGTCTTAAATATTGCCCTATCTCATACTTTGATCTCCTTTTTGTTCCTTTCAAATTTACATTACTCTAAGATCTACTTCCCCATCCCGTTGTTTTTCCTCACCAACATTATTTGGATGTACTAACGCAAAGTTTGCCAACTTAAAGTAATATTCAAATCAGACTCTATTATTAGTCTCTTCATTTGAAGATCACAAAATAGTTGACATTTGAACCTCTTTGGGTTTAGACAAGTCTGTCTGAATTTAGATTTTATGGTTTCTTTTTCACGTTTCATAATATTGTCGTTTTGCATTTACTTCTTTTATGAAAAAGGATGCCTTGGATTGGAGACCCATCTATTATGATCGATCGCTTTGATGTACGGGCTAGCTTGGAACACTATGACACTCGAGTAGCTGATGATGTCAAGTATGCTCATCATCTAACAGATTTGTAATAATTTACATTTAGACTTTCGTCGACAGAAAGAATCGAAGCCAGGCTATGTAACTACGAACGTTATCGGTGCCTTATTCACAATGAATATGCATCAGGTATGAATGGGGTGGTTCTATCTTCCTTTTGCAGTATATTTCATCTTATATGGTCTTTTTCGTTAGTTTGTATACAGAACTTTAGTAGTTCAGGAGTTTTATGTTTGCAATTGTACGATATAGTACTCACTTAGGCTATTCAGCAGTCAAAATAGTCGAATATTTTAGTAATTACTTATATACACCAGATTCGTTTAAAGCTTTTCGTCTAAATAAATTATTCTTATACCAGTGCCGTTATCTGTATCCGGAATGTTGGTTCTAAATATTTAGTGAAAAATCAGATGAAAGAGATTGTCAGGTATTAATTTACTAGCTGTCCCAAATGTATTTTAAAATCACACTAGTTTGGGCAAAATTTAGACTCAGAGAGTAAGTATATTTCTAAAAATATTTTTCACCTGCATTTCCTCCAACATACTCATTATGCGTCCTACATTTCTCTGTGATACGAAAAACAAGTTGCCTCTAGACAAACACTTCATGTGAGACCCGTCATATTAGGTAAATGATAAAGGAGTTGTATCGACGCACCTATCTAGTGTATTTCTCAAAAAAGATTGCTTATTTCACAGTTTGAAACCGATTTGAACGCATTGTATTATCGTGCTTTACTGCAGTCGTTATGGTCAGAGGTATACAAAGCAGTTTGTATAGTAAAGGTTTTATGAACCTTCATCAATATTCCAACAAAAAGTTTGACAGAAAGTGGGCATCGAGTATATTAAAAACATTGTTTAGGGATATGGTATTTGAGATAATCCCAACAATTGTAATTTTATTAGTTCCAACGTTTCGTTCATCAATCTTGTCTCAACTTCTATGGCGTAGTAATCAATATTATCAAAGAATTCGTAACCTCTAACAAACAAATCATGACTTAAAGCTCATCCAATTGTACCAGACGTTGACTTTGTTAAGTGACAGAATATGAGTCAGTAAGATGTTAATAATGTATGTATACCCTTATGTTATTAGTAGTTAATAATTGGTGTGAGTAAATACAGTCTTTGTCTATTATCAAAGGTATACTAGGCATTTTATTTATTATTCATCACTCATTCCAATGCTCATTCTGAAGAAGTCCAAACAAGATTGATGAACGGAACGTTAGAACTACTTAAATTTCAATCGCTGAGATTATTGCAAATATCATTTTCACATATAATGTCTTTTGTTTCTAAACATGAGCTGGTGCATATATATATAGTGCCTCCTTGTATCAATATTTATGTGTTCAAATAAATAAAATAAAATTTCTTTCGGCTTTTATAACTTGAATTTCATGTCATCATTTTAAATAATATTTTCCTCTGCTATGATTACTACTTAGCTATTGATTTTACTCCACTATTTATCAACCTCATTTTAATACAAGCTATCTCTGATCACTATAGTAATTAAGAATTATTTTATACAGATGCGTAGCTAAGTAAAAATGTTTTATTGGTTACTGAACTTTACTGTCATCATGCTTAATCATCAGCCGGATAAATTGTGTATCCAAGTGATATCTGTTAAGGGTTACTATTTTATTTTGCTATGTTCATGGTTGAATTTAAAATAACAGATAAAATGCCAATTGATAAACTGGTTATACGAAATAGTACAATGTGGTCGGGTGATAGCTACTTGTGAAAGTTAATCTATTGACTTACTAAATTCACTGACAATCTTCGACTGAATAATATATTTTAAAAGTCACAAAGATGTGTCGCTTTTTCTCTATAACAATGCATAAGACAAGATAGGGATATTGTGATAATAAATACGGTATGGCATAAATATCATAATTATGTCCAAAGGTTATCAAGCATCCAACAAATTTTTCTTGTTTCGATTTCAGTCCGTCTTCTCTCTGTCATAGCATTTGCAAGCAAAACACGAGTTTTTCTGCAACAACGTTGTTATCAAAATTTTGTATATCTTACTACATATCAATTTATGATATCAGTTTCCAAATTCAGTTTGACTGAATTGGTTTCTCAATATCATTTAGTCTGCAACCATAAATACTCCTTGTTCTGATTCACAGAAAAATATAACCGCATGAACAAGTTGTGCACGGATTAATATGCAAGATGTCAGAAATGATAAATACCTAAATTATTTCTATCTTGTACATATATATTCACTTTTCATTAAGTTTTCATGGAGCAATGGTTTTACTGTATATTTTTTCCATCTCAAGTCACCGAAGCAATGGCTTTGAAACAAATCGAAATGGATGAAAAGTATGGTGATATGGAAAAAAGACGTAAAGAAGAGGAAGAGGCTACTGTCAAAAAGTAGGGTGTTCATAAAATCTCATTTCTAATTACTTTCATTACCTAGTTCATTAGTTTTTTCAAAGATTGAATTATTTCGATAAGATGATGGAAAGAATACAATTCATTTACCAAGTACATGTTAATTTATTTGGCTTTGAGTCATATTGTTTATGTGACGGTAAGTGATACTACCAGATTAGCTAATCCGAAATATGTGGAATTGGATTTGTATCTATAACCTATTGGTTAAAAGTCGAGTGTTTAAACCACTAAACCATCTCTGAGATGAATCAATAAAAAAGTCAAAGCAGGTTCATAGAAGTATAATTCAAGACGGTGATACCAAAAAAATACTATGCATATTGTTTGCAAAAAAAGACAAAATTAAAAACGCCCAAAATTTGTTCAGAAGTTCTGTGATGTGGGATTTCGCTGGTGATTTCTCTGTGGTGATGATATGCAGCGTATCGACTTAGATCAATACAATTTTACCGCATCGTCCTGCATTATTTACGGCTGTTTATCTAATTCCCTTTTTATACTGAGTTTTTAAAGTCAACTACCAATGCCTATGCGAAATTTCTTTTTCGGGGGGGGGGGTTAGCAGTTACCGTATTTTTTTAATAAGTTTTATTCGTTACTATATATTGTTAATTATTTAAAATTGTTAATATAAACATATCCAAAGAGGTTCGTTCCATACTTCATGTGTGTCTGAAAAAAATATACATAAAGCAAATAAAGGTCTAAGATTTAAAAATTCTTGAAACAGTAGATAATAGATGTGTGCGTTCACAACTAAGGATTTTTAGTTAGTTCAACCCTTACTACCTCATTGTCTTATAGTACATTCCAAATATGTCATTGTAGAATATTCCTAACTTTATTTGCGTACATGAATTTTGGTGTATTTGTTTATCAGTATACCAGAAAAGGTATACATGAGAAATGATGTGAATGAAGTGGATGATTTGTATCTGATAGAATAACATTCGCTAATTTTTTTTACAAAAGCAGAACACAGTTAGTTATTAAGCTCTCTCTCTCTTTACATTAGCGAAATTCCTTAATAGCAGAGATCTTGTAACAATTAATAAAGACAGGATTGTAGTCCAGGAGCGTACGTCAACCATATTTGTCACACTTTTCCATACATACACACCTAAAATACTTAAATTTTTGTTCACAAACTGATATTGGTAAATATGACCATTTAATAAAGAGTAAAGTTTAAGAAATAGCATTAGTTCCTCTATCATTATAAAGGAGAGGAAGGATTATTGGTCTAGATCTAAATGTGACAATATTATCATTAGATAATTTCTTTGGAACTGTGATTGCTTTAAATTTCTTCCTCATATTATAAATTTCATTAAGATAAAAAAAAGATTCTTTCAAGATGTTTATGAAACGATCGAGGCTGTCATTTTAATTAAGTCTTACTTACTTACGCCTGTCACTCCCAATGGAGCATAGGCCGCCAACCAGAATTCTCCAATCTACTCTGTCCTGGACTTTCGTTTCCAGTTCTATCCAATTGCCGTTCATTTTTCTCATGTCTGTCTCCATTTCTCGGCGTTATGTGTTCCTTGGTCTTCTTCTCCTCCTTTGGTCTTGGGGATTCCATGTGAGGGCTTGTCTTGTGACGCAGTTGGGTGCTTTCCTAAATGTATGTCCTATTTACTTCCAGTGTTTCTTCCTCCACTGGAATCTGGTTCTCTCCCACAGTAGGTTGTTGCTAATAATATCTGGCTAACAGATCCGAAGTATTTTGCGTAGACAGCTGTTGATAAATCAACCAATAAATTTGTTTAAAAAGATCTCAAGTAGATCACACAAATTATCTGTACGTATCAAACAAATTGAAGGCGTTCTATGAATTAATGCAAGATTGTTAATTATTGTTCTTGTCACAAGCTAATTATACTTAACATGATATTCTAAATTTCGCATTAATTCTAAAAATCATTTCACTTTTCAATATTATTTATAGAGTTTTAATATTTCCCTAAAGTTAATCACGTCAACACATATAATACTATTTAACTTACACATCTATTTCATTTTATAATCAAGTCTCATTTTTTTACACAATGATATTAAACTATTTGTTAATCATTTACTTATTTACTATTCATAATTTCAGAGCCCAAGAATCGAAAGCTGCTATTGGATTTGTTTATGAAGATAGTACATGTTTTTCTGAACCTACCATAATCAATACCCAACCTTCTACATCTCAAGATAATAGTGATACCGATGATGAAGCAGATAGTGATATGGATATTGGTATGTTGTATTTGTTGTTGTTGTTTCATGTATTCTATCCAATTCCAATTACATTGAATGTACAATTATTATTATGAATGTCAATAACATAATTGGCAAAAGTATACAGTGCTGATGACCTTGTGTGACTTGTTAGCCAATCAGAAAATGCTGCCTAGTTATAAAACAATACAAACTAATAACAGTTTTGATCTGAATAATTAATCTTCACATGCTAAATTATATATGTTGGAAGTCGGGCTAGTGCTGTGAGTTAGGGTTATCACTCTATAGAGTTTTCGTCACAAACTGACTTCAACTATAATACAAAACGGTTAGGGTTAGGTATTAACAGTTTGTTATAACTTGTGGCCTGTGTGCCATGTTAATGTATAACGTAATGGTACCGCCAATTAGAGAACAGTGAATTATCGATCGGTCCAATGACGCATAAAACCCGTACGAGCAGTCTAGAGTATTATCGGTCCTGCTTACCATCCAGCTCAGCCTGTTAACTTCAGAACACCAATCTCAACCTCTGCGATGTGAATCATTTATTTCAAACATACTGGGTTTATATACCAGCCAGACAGGCCACATTGTACCATAAAATAGGAAACAACATTCGTACAAGATTTAGTTAAAATTGGCTGTGGATTTGGGAGGTAGTAATCGATAAACAGAGCATAATTAAAGAATGGTAAATCGTATAATAATAGTTCATAGATCAAAATAAAGCTTATGATAAGAGAAACACAAATATGAGTAGTTTAGTCATTTAACAATTATACGATAAAAATATACGTATAGTATTGATCCATAAATGGGTCCCAAAAGTTACCACTTTTTATTCTCATCGGGATATAACACAGACTGGAATTTTGAGTTAGGTTTACGAAATTAGAGTCAGGGTTTTCAACGTGAACTGATATCAGCTATAATACAATGCTTTGCCACCCTTCTGTTTACAAACTCATTAAACTCAGGGTTGACATTTAGAGTAAGTGTAAGAAAGCGAGAATATTATCTAGCTTCATTACTCATTGAACCACATAAAGTACTTTAACACTCGATCTGCCTTAAGGGCAGGTATGCTGTGTCGTTTATCCTTAGAACGATCTAAAATTCACTTTTTGCTTGCACAATAGATATTTTTATTGGTTCCAAGCATCTTAGGAACCGAAAATTGTCAGTTTTCACTTGGATAATATTAAAATACATATTATCTTCCATTGCACTTTAAAATCCGTGCATCATCTTGGTTTTGATTGGTTAACTCAAGGCTGTCAGTGTACTTTACTTTTACCACATAATTATCCTACTGATAAATATTCTCTAGTACTTATACATTTCATATTCCGACTACTACTATTACTACTACCAATAAAACTTATCACCGTACATTGTTGTGTGTCCCAGTTTGTTGATTGGTTGATTAGTTGATTAGTTTATACTTATCATATCCGATTATAATAAAAGTGTAATTTAATTATTTATTAAAAGATGTTTTTTTCTGATTGTACTTACAATAATTATGATTTAATGTTAACACTTCAGTTTGTATGAGTAGAAGAGAAATTTCCTGCTTTGATTGTTTAAAAGTATTTTTGTTTAGGGGTTTTTATTATTAAGAATAAAACAAAAATATATAATTTAGAAATGAATTAGATTTCTCAATCAAGTTAGATGACTGATTGTTTTTTATCATTCATTATCATTATTACCATTATTATTGTGAATAATGTTTAATTTGTAGTGATTGGTGAACAAATCAGTTTGTTTCTGTGGTCTAACTTTCATTCCTTGCATCAACAAGACGGTATTGTTCCATTGTAATAAGTAGCAGGTAGAAAGAAATATTTCGCAGTTCTAGAAAACAGCTGTATCAGTATTTATCTCGTTATAATCTTAATGAATCTGTCGTGTTTCAAGAAATTTCAGTTATTCACGATTTTACTATTGTAACGTGCAGTTTCAATCATTGATTTTCAAATTAAATCAACTTATTCACTAAGTATAAGGTTACGAGGCACACCCCAAGTGTGTTAGTGATACTACTACCTGCTTGCCTAAACTGAAATATGTGGAGCAAGGTTCGAACCTGGAGCTTAATGGCTGAAAGTCGAACATTTTAACCGCTAACCCACCACTCGGCGATTTTAATCAAGTGAAAATGTCAGTCAGTCATTAGTAAGGTAGAACTTGCCGTGTACGTGCGTCGGCTCAAGTTGAAAAGGCATCAGCAATGCTATATGAAATTATCGAGACAAATGCCAGAGTAGTAGAGGTAGTAATAGTATCAATGTTAGTAGAAAAAGGTTAGATGTAGACAACATGATCTGAGAAAAAAAGTGGTCTGTGGAATAAAAGGTATGAGACCATTTTAAAACTCAAGATCTAAAGGAAAACAAAGAGTGAATGAATCCATCCCATTGCAACTAATTCGGAGTTATGTTAACCAAAATCTACAATCAGTGGTTACAATAATCATGCGGACCCTAAAATGGGGTAGCCTGTACTTACCAACACGGCCCAAGTGAACTGTTAATAACTTCATAGACTTGTGCTACGCGTTGGTTTGGCCTCACCCGGCCTTCTTATATCACCAAACATTGCACTTTAAAGTGAGCGGAATCATATGACAATGCAATAAATTCTTGCCATCTCTAGGTCCTTGTAATGTGTGATTCTTGTATACTTTTCATAGCCAAAGAGTTATATTCATACGTTATTTTGATTGTTCTAAGTTTCATCCGCACATTCAAAAGTTTAATCTCTGAGGCGAAATTTTCATTGAAAGGAATTTATTTTACATATTTTTTAAATATATTTATTAACATTGAAAAGATTTTTAAAAGATTTATACCCTCTTTATGTTGACATCTACATTTAAGAACCTCTCAATGTTTTTTACTTCTAGATGTCGAATTGGATGCCAGTACTTTAACAGCAGAGGCTCGTCGTCAATTAGCCAAATCAGCTGCTACATTTGGTTTGCATCCATCCGATTTTTTGCGTCTTTTGGATGCTGACCAACAATTGGAGGTTGAATTACGGTTAGCCAAAGCTTTAGAAGAGGAGAAATTGCAGTTATCTGTAAGTTTTCATGTCTTAAAGTGACCAATATGTGGAAGCCGAAAACAATGGAAATTACTGTTATATACGTGCATTACTGCATCATTCTCTTTATGAAGCGGTGGTTTATTTAACAGAACTGTTAACTTTTAACCTCTCAGTCTCATGGTTGAACTTCAGTCCATCTAATTTTATTTGCACAGTTGAAAATCTTCGCTAATGTTTATGCATAAAGTGAAGTTTAATGCTTTATGCATAAATCGGTACTTTTTATTGAACTGTATAACTTGACAACATAGTGGATTTTGTTCAGTGTTAAATAATCCAAGTTTGACATAATGGCTGACATTCAACGTCGAGGTGTACATCCAACCTTTATAAAAGAAGAATCCTTAGAGAGTCAATGAGCTATTCCAAATTGGGAATTAGATAACACTATATGTGTACTGTATACTTAAAAACGTTTTAGAAACCAAAGGTGAAATAATTTGTGATTCACTGAATAAACCTTTCAGAAAATATTAAGCGTATGCTTCAGATGTTTGCAGAAGAGTCTCATTCATATTTTACTGTTATATTGATACTCTATGTATGTTTAATCAAAGTTATTATGTTACTGTAACAGCTAGGTTTATATACATGTACATAATTTTTCCTTCTGTCTTTCATTGTCTACATACAGGGTCGTAAATCTAGACGTTCTAGACGTTTATTAAGAGAACGTCGAGCTCAGGAGAAATTCCCCCGGTTACTGACCACAAAGTGCGTGAGTAACTAACTACCTGTACTTATGTAGATAAATATCCAATGTAGATATATTCATTTTATTTATTCTATGCTAACAGAACTGATATTGGTCTGTCGAATAATGCATCATCTTGGCAGAATTCTGATATGTATGTGTTGTACATCAAAAAAATTTAAATGATTGGACAGGTTTGGGAATAATAAATGTTTGATTTTCATTTTACCTTCAGGGTGTATTTAGTTGTGCTTTATACTGATTAAATTAATGTCTCGAATTTTGAAGGTAACCAAATAACTTAAAGATCTAATTATGCTTTATTTTGTTTGATGAATGTGAAGTGATGCACGTTGTGACGCAGTGGGATAAAACACTGTATTCAGTGTTGTATGATTAGAGAAAATCAGTAGCATTTCAACTATTTCTTAAAAATATACTTAATATAAGGTACTTGACAGCATCAACCCAGTTTCGTCTCTAAATACAAACAGATAGCTCGTTTTTGAGATCCTTGGGATAATCGTAATACATAGTTGCAGACGTTGAGTGAAGCTATCAAAAAGCGGTCACAATGACTCAGTTGTATCCATTTTCTCTACCTTCCTTTAAAAATCTTGAACTTGGATTCATTTTATGCTTTTTATTCTTCATTCTTACTCGTTCTAATTGAATTATATATTTATTGTGTTCACTTTTTCATTCCATCTGATATTTCCCCAATTCTTTGCTTTTCATCTTGTTATTTTCCTCTTGTGATAATGTATGGTGTGATAAGAAAAGTAGCTCATGATCGTTACTTTCTCCACTAACAATCTGTATTGCTTGTGAGTTTGAATGCTGTGCTCGGACATCTAAACTGAGACAGGTAGTTTTCATAAAGAATCACTCCCCAAATCTTCAACTTAAAGTTCCTTTCCGTATGTTAGTGGGAATACATTAGTAGATGCAATCTCATGGTAGCCAGTGACCAGTATAGGTTCATATTCCATTCGTCCCCTTAAGATCCTAATGCTCATATGCACCATTGGTTAGGACTCCTTTAGGTAGATGAACGCTTTTTGTCCACAAAGTGTAATTCACTTAGACTTATATACATCCATCTCAAGCTAGGCGTTTATTTTAAGTGGATTTTGACATATTGATATTTTAACTCTTATTTGGTTCATCAGTTGTAACATTGGGGTGTGGCCCCCTAAGAAAACCACCTGCTTCGGTCTGGGCACCCGGGCAGTATCAAAGCCCTCACACATATCGAATGAGATTTGTGTGGTGCATATGTATTTGGTGCCTCTTTGTACCAATATCTATGTGTTGAAATAAATAAATAAATAAAATATATGTATATATCATGAAATCATCGTCGATATAAAAAAAAACATGTCTCTATCGTATTTGTTTAATAAGAAAGGAATTCGATTACAATATTTTATTTTAATCCTGTATTACTCAACTAGACTCATGTTTACATATACGCATACATATAGAATAAACTGTTGTGTAACTGTATTAAACTTGATACAGAAATTAATCTTTTGAGTTTTCGGCTTATCTAAAATTTATTGGATAGTACGCTAGTTATAAGAAATTAATCATTATTCTTTGAATATTATTCTATTTTATAACTTGATGACTTGATGAAATTTATTCTATGCTAATCAAGTTCAATGTAAAAATTAATATTCACTTGGAAAAAAATATAGTTTGGGTTGAAATCGATAGTATTTTATTGTTTCATTGTAAATTTGTTAAAGAGAATTAGCTGATCATAACTAGTTTGGACGACCAAACAAAAATGTCTTTCACAGTATATAATGATGACAGGTTTTCAAGTTGAAAGGAACAGACCATGCTTATCCAGTAATTTAGACCTGGAAAATTTGTACTGTTTTAAATACAACTTAAACTGATAATCGATAGCTTCATGGACTGATATTATATCTTTATCTAGTTGCTCCTAGTCTTCTTTCAACACATTCCGCATAGCATGTAATTACTGACGAGTTATTGAATTTTCTGTTAATAATAATATTCTTTTTTTTGTACTTTGATTATTTCACATATGTTCCAGGCTCTATGTTGATTATGACTGAGCAGAATTAGTTTTTAATAAATTTTCATCTGAAATAGTCATTGTAGTCTTAGGTACAGATATTTACAACCAATGTGATCATTGTACCATAGTATCTTTTTTAAATACTTCCTTAGACTGATAGTTATTTTCAATTTATTATAGTTGTTAATTTTATTTGTTGTTGTTTTTATATTGGGACGTGAAAAAAAAACAGGATTGGTCTTTTAAATGGACAACCGATATCCAGGTAAATAATTGTTTTGTTCTTTACAAAGTTTAAACATATATTTTATACTACTTGGATCAATATCTGAGGCGTACTAGCTGATTATTTTGTTATTCTAGAGACAGTTGTTTATTGATTAAGGCGTTCAACTTTCGACTATTAAGTTACAGGTTCGTACAACCCTCCACCTTCTTCGATGTAGGTAACTAATTAATATCTCTAGCTGTCACACTTAGCTTTAAGCCAAGTACATAGATATGTATCGGGTAAATGAGTTAATAACGAATGTGTTTAATGGAACTTTGACTTAGTGGTTAAGAAATTCGCTTTTCAACCACTGATTGTAAGTTTGAATCCCGATACACTTACTCCAGTTTAGGCAGACAGATAGTATCATTAATTCTCACATAGTGTGACTCGTAGGCTGTATACACAGATCTTTACTTGGCAAATAAATTTTGTGATGACAGAAACAAATCTCTTCCATTGAGTTACACTCATAACCTAAAGACTTTGTTGCACACCGGTTCTTTCAAAAGTAGTTCTGACTCTGTCGGATAAATCCTCAGCGTCAGCCAACTAATGGCATGGTGGATTTCCTCGAAGGGTTGATTATATATGGTAGAAAACTTGAATGAGTTATGCTGAATTTGAGCGTAGTTCACTGAGTAAGGAGAGCTAATCAATCGATGAGGTTGATAATTATCATTCCAGCTGTATTAAGAAGTTGGCAGACTTTTATTCATTCCAAGGCCACATGAATATGAATGCTACATCTAATGGATAGCACATGCAAAATGCCGACATTTTTCATGAATATACTAACATAGATTATTTAGTAATGAAATAAACGTTTGCTTAAGCAATCATTAGCGTTAACAGTGTCACTATGTTGATAAGATGATTACAACTATGCACAGTTTTTCATTAGTGCGTTGGATTCTTAAGTCATTTTAGTTGTAATAAAGCATAATACTGACTTCAGCTGTTTGCTTATGATGTGAAATCTTCATTTTGATTTACTGTAATTCATATGCATCAAAACTCTTGTTCATAAATGTAAATGTATCCAAAAAAGGCAAATATTTTTTGTAAAAATTTTCTCTTATTAGTATTGAGTTCATTCAAAAGCCACAACATAAATTTTCAATCAGGCTATTGTCCGCTCGTAACTGTTAGTTCTATCTAAAAATCATGGTCAGGTATCTCAGTGACAGAAAAGGGAAATATATCTGTTAACTAGCTAACGTGTGGTCAGAATGTCGTCAAAGATCATTATTGAGTCCTAGTATCTCGTGACTATATTCTCGAGGAGATTTAAGCAGGATTATTTGTATGCTTAGTGTTTAGATTAAGGATATTTTACCTATTTTTTAAGGCTTAAAACCATAATTTTAGTCGTTTTTAAAGTTGTGTTAAAGGTTTCAATTGCTTGGATCGACTTTAGTGATCAACATTATCCTCCCATTTATATATAATCTGTTGATTATCCATCTCTTCTTGACTTGCTAGACAATTTTTTGTTTGGTTATGTTATCCTGTCTTTTGTATGATATATGTTATGTAGTAAGTGATTATTGTTCCGCTGCTGAGGGATCCATTTAGATACATCTGTCCTGTACACCGTTAACTTTCTAACTTTCCAAAACATGTTAGACGTAGGCATCTCTGTGAATATGATAAGATTATTTGACTTCTTGTTGAACGAGATAGTAGGTCCTAACTGGTTGAATAGATGAAAACATGAGATGATAATCGAATAGCATTAAAGAAAAAGGCATAAGACAAATTAAACAAATTACAGAAGAATATGACGGAGCGTTGTCAGCTTCAAGACCAGTTGAGGTCGTAGGGATATTGGAGGTGGCTGGCGGCCTTATTGACAGATTAGAGGTAACCAAACCACGTGTCATATTTTGTTAAACCACTCTTTAAAATGCTTCTTTCTCAACCGCTTTTATATATATTTTGAAGTGGTCGTGCGAGCCTTAAATTTTCTATCTCTATACTTTAGTATCTACTCTGTATTTACATAATAAGAATCTAACTTGAAAATTTATTTTCTTACTTGCAGAAGAACTGTCTACTTATCTGCTAGTTCGTCGGATTCTGGTGATTATCCATCGGATGTGGAGGATCAAGATTTTTCAGGTATAGTTTACGGAAGTCCTACTTCAAAAGCAGCCACTATTCGGGCTCAGAGGGCTCGTGCTAAACCAATTCTTTCAAATGCTCGTGGACCTGCTATTCTTATTGGTGGGATGACATCGATAAGTCTATGTCGTCGGAACAACAAACAATCAGGTCACAGTATTAGTTCAAAATACCGTTCAAAATCTGGTCGTACTTCAAGCAGCAGCGAAGAAAGCGTCCGAGGCCACCGTTCCAGTTCATCTGATGTATGTCTAGTGATGTTTTTTTTACTTGAAAGTTACTTCTTTTCTCAATCCATAAGTAATAAATTCGAGTGTAGTCACTAACTTTCAATATTTTAGCTACTTATTAAGCTCTTCTCACTAATTCTGCCACTACTGAAGATAAAACTGGCTAAAATAACGACTCGATTTCGATTTCCCGACCGTTGTTGCTACCTTGACGTGGTGGTCGGGCTTGTCTATCGTGATGAAGCAACCGAGCTATACTGGCTGGAACAACCGTTCCTCAAGGTCCTACCATATCAGACAGGTTGGTTGAAGAGCAGTAAGACTATAAGCAACAAACCCAAGGTCCGAAGGCGAAGTCGTACTGCTGACTGTACAGAGGTGTGACAGAAGTAAGGTGTTTCCTTCAGACAACCAGCATGACAGCGATGCTGCCTTCCCACAAGGAGGGGTGGGGTTAGAAAAGGTCGACCCTAAAAATGCACACTGTTTTATACCACGGATATCCGTCTCCGGCGGTAAGGTCTCAATAAGTACGGAGCTAACACAAAAATTAACCATAAAAGGGTCGTGTGTGACCGACCTCAAGCAGTTGTCCCTTGGGCACTGCGGTCACGCTCTCAGGTCACTAAGATTACCTTTAATCCAATTTCCTTTTCAGGTATCTCCATAAGAACCCTTTCACGGTGTGGGCGACCGGGAAGTGATAACCGCCCTCATACTTCTAACAGCACTCAAGACCACTGTATTCCGATTTCGTAAGTCTACTGGTCAGTTGGCGGAATAAAGTCTAACTACTGGATGATACAGGTTTAAATCTTACAAAGCACCTTAGTTCCTTCATGAATTGCTAGCACTTCTAGTTGATGAGTGCCAAAAGGTTCAACTGGATTATTGAATACAATTTAGATGTGTTTCAAATGTATCTTTTATTCCTAGCGGTTCACATTCTGCCATATTACATGTTCTCATTCTTTCAAATGGATAACAGTAAACTGTATATTGTATTTTGTCCTATCCGACTTCATTAAAAAGCTAATATGTTTACCTTCAAAAAAGCTCGTCAAATGGAAAATTGTCTTTAATTGAAAAAACTCCCTAGTCATCAGATGATGATGATGACCTAGCAAGTTTATATTGCTGTACATTTATTTTTAATCAGAATCATATTGAGTGAATTTAACTATATTGATTACTGTTAGTTTTATAAACATGATTATTGTTCAAATATATAAGTATTCATTCTGCTTTGTATTATTATGTAAACGAAAAAACTGAAATGGGTAGAGTGTTTTAATTACCAAACCGAATGTGCTGGTGCACTAAATCATTGGTTTATAGATACAATCGTCCTTGTGATCCAGACAGTTATATGTATTCTTAAACCCTAACTAAATAATACATAACCGATGGCATGGCCCGTTTACAATTTTATACCTGTCATTTGACCTTAAACTGGCTTGTAATATTTTTATGTTCGCCTAGCCGATTACTTTCTTCTGGAATTCGCCTTCATTTGTACTTGACGGAACATCGTATTCTTTATCCTATAGGTTGTAAATGATAAGCTGAATCTCAGTATACCAATGTTATAAATGTCGTATTTCATTTTTTTAGCGATCTTACTCTAATCGAGGATCACGTAGTGGATTTCGTCGCCCTAAACACTCTCGTGTAGAATACATTACTACATTTGGTGATAATGAAGACAATATTGATGATAAACGAAATAATAGTGGGAGTTCACGATTTAGTTCAAATAAACAAACATTGCTATCTAATCGAAATGGAGGTGGATCATCTGGTTCATTAGATTCTAAACCGCCTGGATCAGCTGCATCTGCTGTCGCAGCTTCTGTTGTTTCAAAGCTACTCAGTTCAACACCACAAACATCAGTAGTTATGAGTAAAAGTAGTTTTGTCAGTGCATCTGGTTCAAAATCCACAAGAACTGAATCTCGCATACGGTAAAGTTATTGTTGTCCATAGATGAAGTTTATTATAGGGTAGTTTTTTATTTATTAATTGTAATTATGTTATTAATTTGTTGTTAGAACAGTGTAAATACTCAAGTATTTATCACTCAAAAAATGCAATCCATAAATAGAAGTAATAATATTTTAAGGAAAAGAAAAAGGAATCACCATTGACCCTTTCTGAGTCATACCTGACAACAACCACTAAGTTACTCAATCTTGAGGACCTCGAATGGGAATTCATGATGAACTGTGATGGTTGTCAACGCTATATTAGCTATCATTTATACTACAGCACCATGTCATAAACTGACTATCCACTTCCTCCACAAAGTCTCGAAGTCAACAATAAATGCGCAACGTAGGAGCCATTGAGATGAAATTCGTAAAGCATGACTAAGCCATTGATGTCTGTGTTTCAAAACAACAGGATTAATTGAATTATCAAACCAGTAAGTGATTTCAGTCGTTTCATAATCGGGTTTACGTTATGTGATTCATATTATATCTTTTTTTCCAGGTCCTCTCCTAGTTTTAGTGAACGAAGAAGACCCCTGCAATCGAGAAGTCGCTACCGCCGTTCCACCTCTCGATCTAGTAGTCGGCGATCACACAGTTCTCGTGGTAGCAGGAGCCGTAGGAGATATCATAGTCGAACGCGGAATAGTAATAGTAGCAGAAGTTATCGTAGTTCTTACCGAAGGTACAAACGTAGTCCAAATCGATACCGCTCAAGGCATAGGTCCTCTTCATCAAGAAGATCTTACTCTAGTTCCAGTACTTCAACCGACAATCGAAAATCTAACTATGATCGGTTAGTTTACTTCTTTTTAGACTGTCCTCTTGATTTTTACGTTATAAAAGTTTATCAGTTCATAATTATAATCCTTATCAACTTTTGTTTTACGTCTCTTAAGTCTGATGTTGGAATAATCTTATTTATTCACGACTCCTTAAATGGTGTTTGACGGCTCTAACTATCAACTTTTTAATATATATGCACTAACTATAAAATTTAAATCGTTACCATATAATTTATAAGTCAAAGGATAGTTATGTTCTATGGTGTTGTGGAGGTTGTTGAATTTAAAGTTTCACACCATCGACTGATTTTGGGTCCGATCTTTGGTGGGGTTATAAATGAACAATGCTGAGGGGTCTCATACTCGAACGACGGAATATTTTTCCAGTGCTTTCTGGTTTTCAGTAGTTGTCTAACATAGTTTAATTCGTTATGTGAAGCTTCGAAAAACAATTATGTATTTTTTTAGCACCATTTTTTTGTTCTGTGGGATGAATGAGTAATGTTGAGATTAGACATACAGTGTACGTAGCAAATTGGTTCATGATGTCGTAAATGTTCGTCAACTGAGGTGGTTTGTATGTGTTAAGTATGTCTAACCACCCCCGTCATCTACGAGCGATGTTTGGTAGTTCAGAAGTTTGCTAAAAGAAAGTTATCGGCGGCCAAACCAAGACATAGTGTCACTCCTTGGAGTCACTGACTGTTGATCTAAGCCATGTAGGTAGATACAGACTTTCTGATTGGAGGCTGGTTGATAACAGCGACCAATTAGTGGAGTATACCTTTCAATCCAGTCTTTTTGGAGCATATTGCTAAGGTTTAGTATTTCTTTTAATAAAAGTTTCTACATCATTTCGACCTGTTTTATTGTATTTCATGTGGTTGTGCTAATATGGTATGGGGATTTGATCCAAGACATATCTTTTCCAGACCTTATGTTGATTATATCTGTCTATTCATTTTCTTGTCTAATCATCTTTTATAATGTTTGGAAATTAAGGGGCTCTTCCCATTTCATGATTTTGTATATATTTCCTTGAAAAGTACTGTTTTTTCATACTTTTATGTATGCTGTTGTCCCAAAGGATTAGATTCAGTATTCTATCGTTTGTGCTATTTTTTTAATAGTTTTATGTTTCCTAAGAAATTGAAAAAGAGACAGATATTTAGTATCAGTCTATGTGATATACTCCATACAAACTTCCAAATACAGTTATTTACTACTACTGCTGTTATTTCTCTGAAAAATGGCGTGAATATATCCACTCTTTATCTTTCAAATCTTCAGAAATATTGTTTTGTTTTTACAGTTTTCGTCGTCAATTGACCTTAGTTAAAAAAGACCATTGACAACCAGGAAGCGCTGAACACATATTTCATCTTTGTATTGGTGGAACTCAACTTTTTGCATCCATGGCCTCGCTGGGCTTCAAACCCTAAGACCTTCGAATTTCTCTATGAATGTTTAACCTTTAGGTTGTCAACCTGCATTAAATAGTGTATGTGTCTAACCTCAATGAATTCTCGATATTGCATAATGATCTTCCTACATCATCTGTAGCTAGGTTTCTTATACCTGATATGGTTGAACTCTGCTGGTCACAGCTCACAAGAACTCGAGGTTATTATACCACCCAAAATGAGTTACTGTAAACTTACGTTTATTTTACGATCTATACCTTACAACAACAAAATTTAATCTTTGTTTTAATTTTACCTTGAGTTTATTTGTTTTTGCCCTGTTGCTGTAGGGTTAGTGCAAATCCGTCCACTAGATCCTTCAATCAAAATCCACCGTATGAACAAGACGCCGTTATTCAACCAAACGTTCAAAAGCAACCTTCACCTCTAGTACGCAAGCGATATTATCGTCCTGAGTTAGAATCTGCCGATGAATTGGAATTATCAGACGAGGAACAAAATGATACTAAAAAAGAATCATCAAAGTCTTCAGATGGGAATCCTGGAAAACAATTAACCTCAAGGTAATTTCAACTCGTAGATATATTTATGTATATGGAGTTGTTGCTCAATAGTTAAAATGTTTGATTTTGAGTCGCAGTTAATATAGACTAGATGAAATGTGACTTGCAGTAGAATCCAGGACTCTCATTTCGTCCTACTTGGGACTCGTAAGCTGGATATGCTTGTATCCTTGAGTTGATGTTCACTCAAGGACTCAAACCCCAGTACCTTTCTCTTCAAGCACCATCATTTTTATCCAGTTAGCTACTCACCTGTGCAACGGGTTTAAATCTTAATCTAATTTGGAATGCTTTGCGTTATCCTGTTGTTTATATGTGGACTGCCTTGATATAGCCATTATGACACAAATTAATATAGAATAGACTAAATCGGCTGGCAACGGATGTATCAAGGCAATCCGCGCAGGATCTTCATATCCAAACCAAGACTAGTCAAATTCCAGTCGGAATATCAACTACGGGATAATTTAATACCATTCAAAATTGAATTAAATTGCAGGTTCAAAAGCCCACTCCGCCTAATTCGGTCCAGAAAACCAGTAAAGTCATTCTGTACACCTGGTAAATGAGGTTGATAAAAAAAGTTCCAGTGTATTAGAATTTACTGAGATGCCAAATTTCTAAACAATAGATATTTATCTAATAGGTGATTATAATAGTGCTTAGTTCTGCCTGACTTTGATTGTTGACTTATAAAATGAGTAATCAAGTGGAATTCGTAATTTTTTCCGATTGATAAGTTACATTCACGTAAATGGTGGGATTAGTGATCAGCAAAGAAATACAGATCAATTCCAGTTATTATTTTCTGGTGAAGACTAGTCGGATGGTATGAGCACTATTATTTTGACCAGGGATTAGAGGTGTTGGGTCGATCTATCGAATTGGCGCAGATCCATCTACTTCGTTCCTTAAATATTCAGTTTTAAAATTATCTTTGTTCGAAAAATTATTTCTTTCTTAGGTCATATTGTATGTTTTTTACTACTACTACTACTATTTCCAGTGTCTAGTCATCCATTTGTACTATTTTATATCACTGTTCTAATGTATTGTGACAACTTGTGCCGAAGCACGTATGTGCCAGTATCGCAGTCGCTCCTGCTTCCCGAGTCAACTTATTTTAGCTAAAGCTTTTATACTACTTATAAGTAGTTCGATTATTAAACCAACAAACGTCACTCAATCGTTTGCTGAGCTAGTCGAAGCTGTTCGCAGTTCATCTATGTACTAATATATAAATTCCTTAATAATTGTATAAGTTTTGTTTTTGAAAAATTAGGTTCTGTATAATAAGCTTTCATACTCAATAAATCGAAAAGGAATATCACATAAGCCATATATGACTAACAACCTTTCAATGAAGTAATATGTTCCGTACGTATCATTTGAAAAATGTGTTTTGAGGAAATCTCAGTGGTTTTCTTGATGCTTATTATGTTCCGTAAATCAAATTGGTTGATTAAAGTTTGTTTTGGGCTATTCTAATGGTCCATGGAAAATATTAACTGTAATTAGCAATGGAATCTAAGACTCACGTCTCGTCCTCTTTCTGGACTTCTCAACTGGATATACCTTCATCTTGGTATTAATATTCACTCTATTTTTATAATAGTTTGAATTATCACTTCGTCGATAGATTTTTTACAGAAACACTGTTGTCATTATTTGACTGGGTATTTTCCGTGAATTTCCTGAAATAACATCATGGTTTTGAAGATTTGTCAACGTAAACTTTTCAGGTCATTTTTTAAATTCAAATTATTTTTTCAGTCTGTCATTTGTTTTGAAGAAGAGAAGAATAATAGTCATTATTTTCAAATTGTTCTAGATGACGGAATTTTAAACATTTCTTATGGAACTTATTGATATTTGATCTAATTCTAACACTTGTTATTGACGAAATCGTCTCTGTTCAGTCATCTTTGTCCAGTTTCACTAAACACTAAGGTGTTAGTAATTAATTTATTGATGAAATTCTAAACTTTCTTTTTTTTCTTTGGGTGAAATAACGACTAAATTAACATTATCGTTAGGCTCTCAAACTTTCAAACTACCTCATTAAATGATTTGTATTACGTAACTACGAAAATCTTACATTTTAAGAAATCAATGCTAATAAACAATTCTTCCCACCAAATAATCTTACAAAATATTTATTGTATTATGGTTTTACGACTGAAATTCGAATATTTCTGTCTAAATGCAGAAAATGATTCAACAAAACGAGAATTAATTTGCTTAATCCAAACCACTGCTTTCTCCTTTATAGGGCACGAAGTTTCGTTGCGTCACTTACAGTCAACAGTGATATCAAAACACAAATTTTATACGCAATCTTTATGCATGAAAATGTCACCACATAATAATAGTAAATCATATCACAAATAGGGAAATACTTTAATGATGCTCCTTGGACAATATATAGCCGAGTGTTTCTCTGATACAAAATAACGTACTAGGTAGTAAAAAAGGTGGTTACTAAATATAATTATTAAGTACCTGACAATCGGTAAAACGGAGTCAAAATTCTATCTGTGAGATTTAAATCAAATTGCGAACATTTCCATCAGATAACCAAAGAACATCAACAGGCAATTACTCCATACTGTAACCTTGATTTTTGTTGAGGAATACGTTATTGTCAGTGGTCCGATATCACAAAATAACAAACGGTATATTAAAGGCAAATCTTAATTAAAGTTAACTCGTAAAGATTTATTCAAAGAAGACTGAGAAGCATCGAAATATGGCTGGATAATAGTTTACATGTACAGAAAAATGAGAGACAGAAATTCATTAAAAAGAATTGCACTACTGTCAAAAGAAACACCGGAGGGATTCGCAGGGCATCCATTCTTTTACATACGGTACACCAGGATCTTTAAAAAGTTATTCTCATTTGCTAATCAATTGACACGTGATTCTAGTGTTTTCACGTACTTTAAACAATCCCTTAATTTTGTTCGATTTTCTTTGTTCATATTTTACGAGTTTACAGAATTACAATTGTATACTGTTCACTTAAACTTAATTCTGATCGATAAGGTTTACCTAATATTAACCGCCTACAACAGGCGACATAATTGTTCACACGTGGTAAGCGATCGATTACTTGTAGCTTATTCTTTATTGATTGCGGAAAATTCCTTTTTTTTGTTATTCGGACAGCGTTAAATTATGTCTATGAAGTAGTAGTGCCTTGTAGACGTTTTGATGTAAGCGATAGTAGATAAACACTCGTTTTTATTCGTTCTTGATTTTTCTAGAGTTGGTGTAGTATATATAATCACAATTTTGTCTCTATATTTTGTTGCATACAGACTATAGAAGAATTAGAACCTACTGCAACAACACTCGGTTCAATATTGTTATTGAACATACGAAATATGAGGATTATAGTGTCTTGACTTTTTCCAAAGTAAAAATCGACTTTTGTTTCAGCTAAATCAACTTCATACCTCTCATGAGATATATAAGTTAGAAGTCTTTTCGTACTATTCACCTTCTTATTATCTTCATTCCAGAGTTGTTTTTCCATCATATTTATTCACAGTTATCATTAACAAGGTTAAACTTGATACTTTCAAATGGATTGAGCAATGTATAGATTGTTAGTAATGAAAATAATGATATATATTTAGTATGCCAATGAGTAAGAAATTGAATTTGTAATGTTTCGCTATTTAGTGTAAGTCACTTCTTCCGAGAATAAACAAACAAATAAATAATTATTTTAGTACAAGAAAAAAATTATCAAAATGGGTTAGATTACTTTGGTGTTACTTCATTTTGTTGAAAGTAATTCTGTGGGAGATAGATGGTAAAGCTTTCTTTTCTATTCAGAGTAGTAGGACTTAGAAAGTTTCAACTACTCACCTTTCTTTATATTTAGATTTTTTTTTGTATTTTTATCATCGGTTTGATGGTTGTTAGAAATCAAATGCACTTCTATTGTTGATTTAACGTGGAGGTTTTCAAGTTCTACGGGATTATTAACAGAATATTTTTTGTCTATAGCATAGATACCTTTTGATTTGATTCAGAAATTTAATTTTCTACTCATCTGGATATCATCAGTACTTATTAGTAGTACATTACGTTTGATCAGTGTTAAAAAAAGTTATTTTTCACTTATATATACCATAACATTTTAGGAATTTTCATTTACTTAATTTCTAATTGTTAAGTGTGTGCATTGTAAAAACAGTAGATATCATACACCAGTGTATCGGTTACAGGTAATTTAATGAACCTTCATGTAGTCATTCATTTCACGATTACAGACTATGTTTCTAGGTTTAGTTTTTCGAAAAATGTCGTTGGCTATCTTTAAAAACTCACGATTTTTTTTATATTTTTGGTTTTCATCTTATTTTTTAAACAGGAGATCGGATTCAAATTCCTATGGAAATTTCGCGGGTAAGATGACGTCTCAACAATTGGTCACGAGTGGTCCTAGTCCAAGCCATGATTTAAAAGTCAGTTAATTTTCATCACCTCGCACCCATCCAACTTTCTAACATTCTGACTTACATGAACTTCGTGGAGTTATTTTCTTTGGATATCCATATGCAGTATAATTTTCCAATTTATTGTGAACCAATGATTTTGATGGTTGAAACACTTGGCTTTCAGCCAGCAGGTTGCATGTTTGAATGTCGTTCTATCTAATTCGGTTCATATAATCGAGTAGTATTACTAGATTTGATCAGAACATTATTTTAAAAGCCGGATAGATGAACCTGTACTTGGCAAATAAGTTGCCGACATATTAGGATATGACCAACACTACTCTGAATAGTATTTATCTGAGTAGATTTGTATACTTTCATGATTTATTCTCCATTTAAATGCATTTTACAGACAAACTACCTTAGTTTACTATCACATAGCATTGATTGTGGGATTATTCTACTGAATAGAATCATATTTGATAGGGCAAAACATTATTTCTAACAGAACATATCATATAGTGTGTTCCAGTATAAACTACTATACCGAATGCTTTTTCTTGTTTTGCTAAGATGAACAGTTCATGGGAGTCAGTTAACTATGTGAATCCACAAAGGCTAACAGTACGTTTATGTATGCAAATCAGGAATTCTAATGCATTAATTGATGATATATGAGGTTTTAAATCTTCGTCGACTAAGAGGATTGAGATATGTGTTAAGTTTAACTAATCACCCCTTACCTCTTCGAGTAATGCTTAGTAGTTCAGAAGTACGTCGAAAAAAGAAAGGGGTGACCAACCCAAGACATGGTGCCAGTCCATGAAGTCATTGACTGTTGGTTTTAACCGTGTAGGTAGATACAAACTTTCTGGTTGAAGTTCGCTTGGTAACAACGATCAATTGGTAAAGTATAACTCCATATGTGCCTTTCGATCTAGTCTTTTCGGAGAATATTTCTAAGGTTTAGTATTTGTTTTCATGAAAGTTTCTACAGTTCAACCTGTTTTATTATATTTCATATGGTTATGCTAATATGGTATGGGAATTTGATCCAAGACATATTTTTTCCATGCCATGTTGTGATGGTAACAGTCTGTCTGTCATTTAAGCTAGAATAACTGAAAATTCATAAAACATTCCTCAAAAAATTCTATCTCTTATACCACAGGGTTCTGTGATCTATTAAAATTAATCTGTTTTTAGTATGCTATGTTTGTAGATTCCAATAATCTCTTCCTATTTTTAAATAAATATTAATCACAATTAAGCATGCTACCTTTAACGATATTCCACACATAAAGGTTTAAAGATTATCACTATATTCAATGTTAGCTTATCGAGTCTGTTCATCCAAACAATATAATGTTATTTCTTGCTGAAATTCTCTTTTCAAAGAAACTGTACTCTTATATATAATGCTTTGCTTTTTCTCTCGCTTACCTTATTTGTTGTTTCAATATTCCCTTGACTTTTCTTTAGACTCCTGGGGTTGTTGGCTCGACAGTCCGTTCTCTTATGCCACAAGAATTATTGAAACGTCGTGTTCAGTCTCAGCTTACTAAAGCCTGTAAGTTAGCGTTGTTTCTTATGTGATTTATGATAGGGAGTTATTTAAAATTTTGAATAGCTGAAGCTTATGCGATGTCAAATAGATTAAGGTGCTAGGTCCTTTGGAATCTTAGTTACCACCTTAACGTGCTGATCAATTTTGCCATGTCATGATCACTCAGTCGAGATATTTTGAGCGAAACATTTGTTCTTTTAGTTCATACCATGCCGGACAATTTAGGTGAAAAACTGTAAGTCTAGAAGCAGTAACTTAAAATTCTATGGCGAAGTCGTACTGGTGACTGTGCAGAGATGTGAAGATGGATGTTCCCCTCAGACAACCAGCTTCTGCAGCTATACTACCCTCTCATAATAAAAGAAAGAGGTTAGAAATAATCGAATCTGGAAATAAAAAAAACTCACCTTTCTCCACGAATTTCCACCAGCTTCACACAGTTGTCTCATAGCTTCTATGATCACATTCCATTTAGTTATTTCTTCAACCCATACTGATAAATTTATGTCTCTGTTCAGGTTGTTTTGGTAGCTTCACATTTTATATTTGTTCAACTTTTCCCTATACATTATATGTGTACATATTTATGGTTAAGGCGTTCGACTTTCAGCCACTAAACTTCAAGTTCGAACTTCACTCCACCTACTTCAATTTGGACAACTGGTTAGTATCATTAGGCTTCACACTCAGTGTGTGGCTCATACCCAAGTACTTGGCGAACGAGTTAATCAATCTGTATAAACAAATAAAATTATGTGTCCATCAATAAATTGTGTGAGATATGTGGGACAGTGGTTGTGTAAAATATAACCACTTATTGTTATTTTCTATATTTTATCTTATTTATTTGAGCTTTCTGTTTATTTCTAGTATTTGTTGATATCACAAACCAAACTAAGTTAGACGTCTATTAAAAGCCAGAAACCACTAGACCTCTATTTCGTCCTCGTGTGGGACTCCTCGGCAGTGCGCATCCATGACCGAAACCAAGGCCTTCACATCTTTTCCTAAACCCTTGGCCATTAACCAGCATCCAACAGTATACTTGTCTAACTTCACACGATTTGCTATATTACTCAACCATTTTCCAGTGTCTATTTGGAAACTATCTCATACTCGACGCTTCTGAACTTTATTGGTCACATCTTCTTACTAAATTTTCAGAATCGCCTGTTGAAACTACTCACTAGTGAATGGATGTTAACTATCAGCGCAGAGGTTTGTGAAAATTATTGAATGTTACTGATATTACGAATCGACCCAAGTCGTAGATATGTATTGCTGGGAAGTCCCATACTAGGACGAAACAAGCTGTTCAGTAATTCATAATTTTCAATAGATATCTAATCTAGGTCGATTCATGTTATCAATAACCTTCACAAACCTTTCCATTGATTATTATCACTAATTTTTTATCTTATAATGATTTCTTGACGGTTCTTTCTGTTTAATTAATTTTTATCATAATAATTAATCATAGATATTTTTATGTTAATATTCAAATTTGTGTATCTAAATTTTGAGTAGGTCTAGAGGTTAAATCTATTGAAATTGACCTTTGTATAGACATTATGGATAATAATATTTTATTGTTCTAAATAAAATAGATTTTTTAAATACAGAATGAAAACACATTTCGTTACAGTATTCCGTAATTTTGTCTGTTACATTTAATGGTTATTTATTTGACTAATTTTCATGTGTTTATATCTTTTCAATTGTTAGAATTTAATTGTTTTGTTTGCATGTTTACGTTTGTGTGTACATTGATGCAATTTGCCTGTTATGATATAACACACATCTTATCATGATTACTCTATCTAATATCTGATTGTTGAGATCAGTGTGTAAGCACATAACCTACTTGATAGAATATATTCTTGTGGTGTAATGAATAGATCTACAGTTCATATATTAAGTATTTAATGGTGAAAATCATTTGGTTAAAAGTTCCCAACCCAACATCCGTTTGTGCTGTTGCGTCGAACATCAAGTGTGGTTTATATCCTTTGTATTTTTATTACAGATGGTTTGTGGAGTTTGTTAAATTTCATAGTATGCATCACGAACTTATCTTAGTTGGAAAACCGTTTAAAACCCGAAAGTAACTGATAGCTGTTTCATCTTAGTATGTGGGACTCAATTGTGTTCTCTCATTACCTCACTCGGGGTCGAATTCAGGATATTCATGTTCGATGTCTAGTTGGGTCGTAAAAGTTCACTATCGAGTTCCTCATACTAAGATGAAATGGCTGTGAAGTCCTTTCTACTTTTTAACGGTTTTCTAAGATTTTGCTTTTTTTTACTGCTAATGATTCAAATAATGTTACTATTTGTATCCTGTGTATTTATCAGTGAAAGTAGAAGAAATGAATCGTTCATCGCCTTTTTATTTTACTGAATATTTTAATATATTGTCTTTTCGTATTTTACTCACTGTTATCTTTTTCTTCTTCAATTCCCAACTATCTTTTGCTTTCCCATTCCGTTATTCTCATATGTACAGTTACTTAGATTAATTTATATCCACACATCACTGATTTATGCTCCTTTCAGTATTGTCTAATGTTTTAAGTAGTCGAATATCATAGAAAAGGTCGTTGTTTGGTACTTCACTTCACCTACATCAGTTTTACTGCATATCCTTTCTAGAGACAGTTTAACTAGTGTTAAACAAAGTGCATAAATTTGTGCTTCATATTGATTACTTACGTTTTGCTTCAATCCCATGTACTACATACTACCTTACATTTTTAACTTTAAATCTACTAAATATTGTTATGTCTAAACTATTATCATATTTTATTTTCATGTTTCAGTCAATGCTGACAAAAAAGCGGAGTTAGAAAAGCAAATCCAATTGGAACGAGAACGCCAGGTAAATGTTGCATTTACAACTGATTGATCACTCAGAAGACTGATCCTAGTGTTATGTTTGTCTAGTCCCTTAGCACTGATCGAATTCTATCGGTCAACAGGTTCAATTTTTCTTCGTTAATGAGTTGTTTATCAAGATAACGGAAAAAGATAAGGTTCACTACTTTTAATCTGTTACCAAATCGTTGTTCAGTCTCACCTACTCACAACTACCTTTTAGCTTGATCATGTATTATTGTTATTTCTCATTTTACGGTCGAGAATATGTAAACTACGTATGCTCGAAATATAATATTTATTGTCACCTAATTCAACCACCGAACAAAGAATAGGGTTCTGACGATTGAACTAGATGTTCACGATTCGGTACGATTGAATAATGGAGAGCTACTGTGTATGGAATGTCATTGTAATGACTTTTCATGGACAAACCTGTAAATACAATACATATTCATCTTTATATACTTATGTTGTAATGAACGAAAACACAGGTGAGGACAATCAAATATATTTTAACACAAAATTACAGTTATCTGGTAAAATACGAAAGCTGTTGTCTCAGACTTTATTGTTTCTTCATTTCATACCGATTACTTTCTGTTCCCGTTCTCGTCTATTCGATCTTCGCAACCTTCTGTTGCCAGATTTTCTACTTTCGACCAGTGTTACATGCTACTTATATCTGTCGACATAAGTAGCATACACTATAATATGAGTTTATTTCTTCATCCAAATTGTATTGAATGTGACATCGAGGTAATATAAACGATAAAAATTAAGATTGTTAATAATAGTCTTTCTTTTAATACGTCTATTTAAATAAGTCTTCTTAACTTTTAATATTTCTCTCTCGACCTTTTTATTTGTATTTTTGTTTTTATTTGTAATTATTATTTTCTTTACTGTTATATTGTTATAGCAGCAGTAGTAGTATATCTGTTGTCTTTTCAAACATTATTTACTTCTAGTTACTATTTTTTTTGTGGTTGTGCATTTATTTCCTCATTCTTCTCTCTTATGCTTACGTTCGTTTGGTATTGTGCTTGTGTAATATTTATATAGTATTCTTCCGTAACTTGTTATATTTTTGTATTAGGCTTTTATTCTTCTCTTGTTGTTGTTGAACACTTATCTTTGTTTTGCGTGTATCAATTATTCGAGTTGTTTGTTGCCGTCTTTTGTAATAGGATTAGTAGTAGTAGAATTTGTTGTTAACCGGTGGTTTCTTTTTTTTGTTTGTATATAAGTGCGTGTAGTGGGTTTGTTTTCTTTACATGTTTCCTGTACAATTGAGACTAGTCATTCACACTCAACTTCATACTACAAGCCATATTATTATGATTATTGACCTTTGATCCTATGTCGCCTTCCTGAGAGAATATATATATTTTTGTTGCCCAATATTGCTTTCTTTCCGCTCACATATGTACAGGCTAATTCGCTTCATATTTATTCTGTAACAATTTATGTGCTGAGTCAATATTATTATTATTATATGGTGATTACCCTGTTCTTTCTCTATATTAGTCACTAGTTGTTTTTTGTTTCTTATTTCTTTTTCTCAATTATAATGTAAACATGTTTACTCAGTTATTTATATTCTTTTTAATAGGTCTAATTAATAATTCAGTAAGGAGAACATAGCAACATGAGATTTTATACATGAAAACACTTTACCATATATTTAATGCCAAATGCTTATATTAGTTTACTAATGTTGTCTCAGTTTCAAATTTATCAATCAGCAGATACATCTTACTCTGATGAGTATCAACTAACTTGAAATATAGGTCAAATACAATTTACTCCAACCATCTAATATCACTTAAACTAGTGTAATGACCATATTACACTTTGTTAATCGATAGAATTTAATCAACACTGAAAAATACTATACAAGTCTAACATTGGCCATCATATACACACTACTTAGTGACCAATCAGTGCAAAATTAACACATGTTTAACTGTTCTGTAGTTATAAATAAATAAAAAATAGACTGGCTAGTTTCTACTGTCACATCATCAACGCTTCCATCATCAGATTCTTGCTATCAAAAATCTATTATAAGGATTTATTAAGTCTACTTTTCCGTTCATTTTTCATAGTAATACAATATACTTGGAAAAAAATCCAGCATTATTGATGTGTTTTTATCCTAAATTCAAAGTGATCGTTTCGTTCACATGTTTGACAGTTTTTTTTTCCATACATTGTATATTTTTCTTGGTTTTCCAGTATTCTTTCATCCTATTGTTACCAAAATTTGAATCGTTCATCAGTGTGAAATTATTCAGGATTTCTTCAGTTGATGCTTCTTTTTTTTATGAAGTTCGTGTTATTGTGTAATCGGATTCTAATCTGTTAAGTTGTTTTTTTTAAGTATCTACATGTAAATTTCTCACCTCTAAGACTATTTTTTTCTCTCACAATATCTAAACTCTTTGGAAATCCACTTTCTCTTCTTTATATCATCAGCTAAACTAGCAGAAAACTAAATTTAATAACTGGTTATGATCTAAATGATTTTAATTCATTTTTCATATGATTGGTCATACATATAAAGTAGAAGAATATGGGCTTAGAACAATAAGTCCTAAATACAAAAATACGGTGAACAATGAGGAAAGAAGAAAGATTTCTGTCAAAATTATAAATGTACAAGTCATTGATGTGTCAATTCTAATATTGAAATCTAAGTGTTATGACTTATGACCCTGTTAATTATCACGTGACAAAGTTGCCAATCAGAACACCGACTTATATAACCTTGTCTCTGTACTAAACCAACGATGCGTTAATCAGCACTAGCAGCCTAGAGTCAACTATGAGTCCTTATTAATCACAAGTCAAGTGACTTTTATGGCGCATATGTAATCGGTTCCCCTTTGTACCAATATTCATATGTCCACAAAACAATAACTTCTAAATTAACCCAGCCCGTTGAGTCCAGAACACATATCAGCTTCCACTGTATGAATCGTATATTTCAGGTATAAGTAGTTTATATATAAGCGGATCAGACTGCCCCAAAATGAAAAAAAAAACAATTATACAAGATCAAGTCAAAAGTAGATGTGAATGTGGGAGATTGTAACTAATAAATTGAGAATAGCTTATGAATGGTAAATCGTATAATAAGTCAGCAGGTTAAATGAACGCTTATGGTAAAAGGAATATGAATATACATATAATCTAGTTACTTAATAGTTATCTAGTAGGAATATATGTCATAATAGTCCATAAATAATTGCTAGCAGTTACCATCCACTTATTTCTCGTTCACATGAAATACAAAGCAGTAATATATTATTAAAGCAATTAATTTAGTTTCTAGATTTCAATATTTCACACTTGTACACTGATTAAGTCTAATATTTCAGCTATTGATATCAGATTTTAATATTCTGTTTATTTCAGTATAAATATGTTATGCTCTTGAAAAATTTTGCAAATTGTTATTATTTCTCTATAGGCTCGAGAAGAAGGACTTCGTCGACAAGCTCGCCTTCTCAGACGTCAAGAAGAAAAACGATTACGTACTGAACGACGTGCTATGGCCATAGAGTTGGGATCAGTTCCTGGGAATTCTTCCGACTCATCATCTCATTCCTCTAGCTCGTCGGGTAGTAGTTATCACAACAGTAGCCGTGCTAGATCTAGACGATTTCAAGCTTCACCAGTTCGTCGACAATCATCAATGTATTCTTCTGGTAGTCGAAAATATTCTCCTCCTCCTCTCCATTCATCATACAGCCGACCTCGAATAGAGTCGGAACGAGGACTTTTAGGCAGTCCAAGTCGTGTTGTAGATGCTAGACTACCATCTCCGCCATCTAATACAAATCTATGTAAGTTTTTCAATAATTCATTGAATAATATACAAGAAAACTTAGCAATTTATTAGACAGTAGAATATACTTATCAAATACGCAATAAATTTGTATCAACATAAAAATAACTAATTATGTTTTTCTTCCCTCTATCCTCGAGTTCATTCAAGAAAAAAGAGGATATGTCAACCATGGATTTTTTCCATCAATACAAAAGAAAAATATCCTATTGTAATTGTTTCCCCTAAAATACCATATTAGGAAGATAAATAATTTTAATCATCAATCATACTAATACTATAAATATGAAATAGCTTTTTGTTGTTGTGAAAGTCAATCGTTCATTTCTATAACTCATAATTCTTCATTATTTTAACAAGTGATCAACAGAGTAATCTGTTATATATACATAAATTCAATTAGATTATTTCTAACGATTCTGTTTGTACGGAAAGGATAATACGAGAATGATTCACATTTAAAATACTCTAGTACACTGAGACTGAAACTTGCATATAATATCAACTTATCTATATGTATAAATATCTCTCCATTCTTATTTAACTTTGTCGTTGATGTGCTTTTAGAGATAACACTGAGATCATTCGAAAGGTCCTCGAAAAAATTCTTCGGCGTCTGGAAAAGGATTGAAAGTACTTCAAGTTACCATTTATTAGAGGTTTTTTAGGAAATTCTACAAAACTGATAAATTGTGCGTCATATCTTGTTTGAATAATTACCTATCTGGTCATTGATTTTAGCATGTTCTCAGAAGCTCCTAGAAGAACATCAATGTCACTCATAAACCTATGAATATCCTTGGTTTTTGCACCTAGACTATTCTTAAAAACAAACCTTCTCATATCTTACCATTTGTCTCGAATCTTAAGTGTCAAAGATTTTTGCGTTGAAATAATATGTCATATTCTTGTGTTAGATGTCGGTTGGAGAAATCATCAGACAATTTTTATCATTTTTGATGAAAATAGGTAATTCTAAATTTATCGTAGGATATTTTTGTAACATGTACGTGTTTTTGGATAAGTGAAACTACTATCTTTTTCCCGTCACTACATTTTTTCATCAGGTAATTTCCCCAGAGACTCGCGTGTTCCCATTAATCGAATTCCCCGATCTAGTAATTCATTACTTGGTAGTCCTATTCAGAATTCTTATTCTACTTCAAAAGATCGTGGAAGTGTTTCATCATCATCATCATCTCGATTTATTGGGTCCAGGGAACAACAGCGAAGTTACAGTTCCATGCGGCCTCACACCTCATCGCGTGGTGAATTAACGAAAAGATCTGACCAATAATATCAATCATTGGTTAGTAGCTAAAATGTGAATATTCGTTTACAGCTATTTAATATGTATTGTCTGTTTAATATTCTTTTCAGATTTTGGTTTCTGAATGGTTCGTTTGTTATGTTGGTTAAAAAAAGACAACTACTTGGGTTGTATTCGGTCACGTTTGATCTTGATGTAATGACACGAAAGGAATTTTAGGACCTCTTTTTCTCTAGTTCGACTAGTCATCAGTTCGCCTATATTGTCTGCAGGTCTGGTGATCTGGACTGAATGCGATACCGTCTAATGAGCTACGACCAAGATCTCAAAGCTTATTCGTCCTCTAGCTCCTTGTAACCCATTGGCCAATGAAAAGACAAAAATAGAATGTAGACCGGTTCTCTATTGTACGCAATTTAGTCATGATTTAAAACTCATGTAGTAATATACTTTAAATATCTGGTCACATAGCAATACGGTTAAGGAGTTACAATGTGTATGTAACTTGATCATAAGTGATACAAAACTAGAGTAACGCGGGAATTAATTTATGAATAACAAACCTGAAACAACAAGACTTATGACAACGATTTATTAGTCTATCAAAAGCTTAGAAATAAGCAAATGTAAATATATAATACCATTTCATATAAGTCTCTAAAGTTATACTTTCACATTAATCATCCCATTATATCAACGTTTAAATATAGATTACCTAATATTATATCTACTTCATAATGGAATTTTGTTATATCAATAGTACTATTTCATCCACGTGTAGATTGTGTTGACATCATCTATAATCATGATCTTTAAATACTTCAAAATAAATGAAATTAATTGAATTAGCTATAAAACCAATGTAAACAGTGAGTAGATGTTCAGTCGTTGTATTTTACTTTTTCAAAATTAGAATGATCACTTAAATATTGATGACATTAGAGGAGGACGATGTTAAGTGCTTGAAAATAGTCTGTAAGAAATAGATAGGGGCATCTACACTATTGGGAAAAATAATGTTCGCTGTCGAATTTGAACCTGGTTTACCTAATTCTACAGTTTGGAACATTACTACTAAACTATTCGGACAACAACTGACCTGTTTTGAGATATTTGAATTTAATTGATTAACTTTAATCCATTAGTGCTGATTGAATTCTATGGTCAACAAATTGTGATTTAGTCAAGACACCGTATGCACTATTTTTCGATGTTATGTGACTGGAGGTATTTGACAAGTAAAATTATCTGTATAGACTTATTCATTTCGATGAAGAGATTCTTTTCATCATTAACTATGACATCATTTAGTGAATCATTGAAAGTCGGGAAATTGGTTTGTCCACCCTAGTTTTAGCCTCTTCAATAATACATATCTGCGAACCAATTTAAAGTAAAGTCTGAATAATCAGATTTGATGTTAAAAATGATATTATCAACTTGAACTTCACCATTAGCCACATTTTACCTATTCTATATAATAAATCTATTGGTTACTTCCATTTTCAAGCACTTCCCCATATATGTTCAAAACTACTGAATATGTTTAAAGTAAGTAGTCTAATTTCAATTTTGAAAAGAACACCTGTATTATATACATATCCGACAAATCACGATATACAATTATAATTATTGGTCAAGCGCGTCTATATATATATATATATATATATATATATATATATATATATATATATATATATATATATATATATATATATATATACCATTGTTGTGTTTTACTTGACTTGTTATCTTCCATTAATCTTTCTAACTGAAACGATGAAAAAGTAATTGTTTTCTCTGACCGTTAACAACCACCAGCCTATTTTTGTCTTAAGTATATATGGTGGTCAATCAGTGGTGATTATTTTGTGTTGGTGCATTCGTTTGCTCAATTTTTTGTAAACTAGTTAATTTAATGGTCAGTTGATTTGTTTCTCTTTTTCTCTATACTTTCATTTGTCCATCTTGTTTTATTGCGATTATGCTTATCACTACTATCTCTACCCTTCTCTCTCTCTTTATATATATATATATATATATATATATATTCAATTTAGTTGAAGGGGTATCATTGAGATTGATTTTTAACTTGTAAGCTTCATTTGTCACAGATCAATTTCAGTTGGAGGGTATTCCCACTGCAAACCAAGGAGTACTGGACAAGTCTTTCGTTCTAGTATCGATCTGTAACGAAATTTTATTCAATATCTACTAAATCCCTTCAGGTGAATAATAATAGTCAGCTCATCAGTTAGTTACTTCAAGGTGTTCTCGAAGTTCTCATAAAATAGTCGTCACTAGTGCAATGTTAGGCATGTCAGAAGCGAAATGGTTGTAACTAATGGCAATGGACGGTCATCGCACTATTTAAAAAATACGAATTCAATGTTTAGACATGAATATATATTGTAACTTTAGTTAGAACAACTATTAAAAACTTGACAGCTCTTCCGTTCTATTGTGGAATTCTACAGCATTATGCATCTACTAACTTATGTGCTTGCTAGCTGTTAGATTTAAGAAGTCATTTTCGGAGTTCTATTGGGAAGCCGTGATCAGTAAAGTTCAGTCACTTTGAGCGTAAGACAAATGTCATCAACAACAATAGACAATAGTTGCATGATATCGCGAATAAACTGAAGTTGTAAAGGCAAACCATTGATACTAATACAGGGGTCTGAAAAAAAGGTTGCTGCTTAGCTTGATCCTGGGTTCAATCCCTTATGGCGTCATGGACGCACAATCTTGTAAACTCTTACTTTAGGATGAAACGGCTATTTAGTTTTTCGTATTTTTTTTTACTGATTATTCAACTATACATAGTTGTTGTCACGGTTAACTAGTTTCAACGTGAATTCTTGGAGTTTCAATGAGAATTCATAGCCTTTTAAATTAATCGTGTCGATAGTGAAACAGTTATCATCTATAGAATTCTATGCTAGTCATGCTCTTTATAATAAATTAATTGACGTCAAATATTGAGGTCGTTTATTTTCAATTCTTCCGTAATCACTGTCAAACCTTAGAGGCTGTTTGTTTGACCCCGATGATGAGCTTAAAACTAAAATGAAACAGTTTTGTGCATTGCCGTATATGATTACTAAGTATTTTGTTATTTAAGATACAATGAATCTGAGTAAATCGGAAAATGTTATATCATATCAGTTGTTAGTCATGAAGTACTAAGTTACCTTTTTTCTATCGAAGTTTTCTTGCGAAAATATGGCGTTTGTGTGTGTAAAAAAAATGTATGCCAGCATATATTTAATATATCAGTTGTGATGCTTTTCTTAATGTGTATTTAGTTGAGTAAAAAAAAAGATGCATCACAATTCTCAATTTTCTTCATCAGTTTGCTGATTAACAACAGAAATTTTACTCTCATGACATCATACCACAATATATGCTCCACAGCTGTTAACTTTGTAATGTTTGAGTGTGTGTGTGTGTGTGTGTGTATGTTCACGTGTTCACATACCTACATGTGATGATGGGATAGGTTATATTGACTTTCTCTTTATTTTGTAAATTATCGTGCGATAAATAAATGTATATGTATATGTTAGGCAATAATAAAAGGGGGAGTTTCCTCATTTATTATTAGTTGTTATGATTATCTATTATTATTGTTATTGCTACTTTGCTTCTTATTAACTTTTCAAAGGATGATAAACTTTTTGTGTGTGTATTCTCTTTGCATTTATCCTTTTTTCCGCTTGGTTTCTTGTACCATCCCAGGTTCTATATTGTTTTGTTTTTTTTAATTGCTTCAGAAAATATGTATTGTGGTAAGATGTGTAGGGTGAAATGAAACACTTTCTGTCTATCTAAAAGAAAGTGTCATCCATCCATCTGTTCTAGGTCACTAACTAAGCTAGTGGATGGTTTTCCAGTTGTTGGTTCTTTTTTCTGTTTCACATCTACCCTACGGCGTTTCCTAATGTCTGTTAAATCTAATTATTTATTTTTTTAATTTTCTTTGTTTGTCTTTTTTCGTCTACTTATAAACTCATTTTTTTAATCCGCCCTCATTTTACCTTATTCTCGCGTGTACGCACTTGTATAGACACATACATAAGCGTAAAAAGCTCCTTTTTTAGTTCACATATGTTTTTTCACGTACCTAATGATTTTTGTGTTCGTTTATCTCTGTGTGTGTGCGAGATGGAGTGTTTGTATTTCATCCTTATATTTCCTGTAGTACTTATCTACAAGATTTATGAACGGTCTAGTCGTACTAGATGCAGAGATGGATGGTGGCTAGTAGCGAAGTCCAGGACTCGCGTTTCGTTCTATTTGGTACTCGTCAACTGGGTGTGTCTGCATCGTAGTTGATGTCTGTCCAGGGACGCGAACCCACTATCGTTCTCTTCAAATAATATCGCGTTATCCATTTACTGAGTCCAGATAGCCACTGACTTACTCAATGGGGTGAAGTTTAATTGATTTTTGTATTGGTTGTTTTAATGTTCCCATTGGTGTTTGGGATTGAAATTGATCAGTCTAATCGTACTGTATGCAGTTACCATTTCGATAACATTTCTATTCTACAAGTAGCTTCTATATACTGGATTGCTTCACGTTTTTCCATTTTAAAGCCACTATGCTAACATTTTCTTGTCATCCAATAACAACGAAAACCGATTAACTGTTATACACTTACATAACTCATGTAACAAATTTTTATAGCTTTGCTTCTGGTTTGTTTAAACTAATTCTATTGATTGATTGACTATTCTATGAAGTTCATCGAAGGTGACTTGTCAGTAGTCTTTTGAAAATCATCCTTATATAGACAATATTCCAGCTGTACTGTTTCTTTAGACAAGCTGACGATACTATTCATCTGTCGTAGATTGAAGTGACTATCACAGGGTTCTAACTTTTGATCTATTGTTTGGATCCTCAATACTTTATAATCACTGAGCCAGTCTTGAAACTTTCTTATGGAATGAAGCAATATTTGACAGTTTCATCCCTTTGTATTAATGAACTATGGAAACATAAACCTATGTACACAGATAGCGGGTTCTACGTTGCGTTCTACCGGTCGATTATATGTATGTATGAAGTATTTTATTTTCATAGTTTACATCATAAACTAATCTTAGTTACACAACCATTGAAAACCCGGAAGCTGTTTCTTTCTAGTATGATGATACTTCTATAGTCTGCAGATCCGAAGCCTCACCAGAGATTGAATCGCAAACCTTTGGATCTCACAGCAAGCACGTACTTTTTGGACCCTAGTGAGGTTACGTAATTGCACTATTGTGGAGTCCCATAATAGGGCAACCATTCTTCACTTACTAGTTGTAAATGCCTCCCAAAAAACAGTGAAACGTTTTTAACCTACTGTTCTCTGTCTTAACCTTGTTTACACACTTGAAGGCATTTCTCCCATTGTTATTTATTATTCATTAGCAATAAAATTGTTAATTTTGCCATTCCGGCACTAATGTTAACCTTTTCTTCTATGGATAATCTATTTAACATCTGTTTTGTTTTCTCATATATATATATATATATATATATATATATATATATATATATATATATATATATATATATATATATATATATATATATATATGAGAGAGAGAGAGATTATGTTGCCTATCTGGTAAAGAGGGGGGTGTTATTGGTACTGTATGTATCATTTTGTTGTTGTTCTGATCTCTCTATACGGCAATTATTTTCTTTTTTGTTTTTACAGGTTTCGAACTATGTATATTAGTGAATTTGTTGTGTTTTCTCTACTCTACCTATATATAAAATAATCTTAGCGTATTTTGTCCATTTCCTTTTCTTTTTTTCGATAAGAAAGATGATGTGGTGTTACTTTGTTTTTTATGCTCAGCCAATTGTTACATTAATTGTGCTTCTATTAATTCATTTTGACCCCTTGTTTTGGAGACTCTTTGTCTGTCTCCTTTTATCACTTAGGTTTGCTTGTTTTAATACAGTAAATAGTGAAGTACGGATTAAAACCTGATTGTTTGTGTTACCCGAATCACATTCTCTCTATCTATATCTTCATTGAAAACGAAAAAGGGTGTTATTTTTACATAAACCATCAGTTAAACGCTACTATCAATGTGGTTACATCTAATGGTCCTTATTCATATATATATATATATATATATATATATATATATATATATATATATATATATATATATATATATATATATATATATATATATATATATATATAGTAGGGAAAAAAATGTTTTCTCTTGCGATAAGCTGAACTCTCTGTCTCTTGTTTTTTGCTGATTTGGGAATTTTCTTTTTTGTTGTGTGTTATTCTTTCCTTTTCTAAAAAAATGTTCTCAATTACTTTATGTTGTTGGTGAATTCCATTGTAATTTAATTTGTTTTTGTACAATTATAAGAAGATGTATTTAGGTAATTTCAGAAGGTTTATAATAAGGAATGATGTTAAAATTTCATTAACTAACTGATAATGTATGACAATTTATTGTTCATATGTTTTGATAAAAAAATTTTCACGCTCTGTTGGCATTGCATGTTCTATGGGTGTTAGGTCTTCTGTGTAGTTTCACAGGTGTTCATATTGAATTTTTTTAATGTAATTAGTGAGCTCACTAGTGACTTATTTCGAGAGAGAATTGCTGGAATTCTTATGAGAAGCTGTGACTGGTGGAATCTAGTTTTGTTGGATATCCATCAGTGTTATTGAAAAATGGTTGCCGATATCGCTAATCGATTAGAATTATAAATGAAAACAATTATATGCTGACTAAGTGATTCAAAGTTTAGGTATTTTCTGTAAAATCCAGAGATCTTGGGTTCAATTCCCCTTTAGCGTCTTAAATGTACACTGGTAAGGAATTCTAGAATACGATGAAATAGCTGTCCAGTACTTCTTCGTTTTTAATAGTTATCTAATTAAAATCAGTCTGCCATGTAATCTACAATACTCAACAATCACCATAAACCTCTTGCAGAAATAACTCATTAACTACTAGATCAAAAGTCTGAATCTTACTCTAAACAATTTAGTTCTACTAAAAAATCATTGTTTCTATGTGTATTTAAAAATATCGCTTTGAAAGTTATTTCCCGATATAATAGTTCATCTGATTTAGGATTTTGTTTTCTTTGTTAGCACATGGAAAATTTATTTCCACATTTCATAAATTCCCAGTTTTTTTTTAATAAGTCCATTTGAAATTAACTTTGCTTGGTCATAAAAGATTAACTTCACATTTAATCTGTGTGGGTTTGATGACTTTACATGTTCAACTGTTTTTTTTTAATCTCAGATTGTTTGCATACAGTAAAAACACTCTGTAGATCATGTTAAATAGACACTAGTGTATATTGAGCATTATGAAAATTTTTCTCCAATCAATAAATTTATTTCTTAGTTCTAGTTTCAAGTACTTCAGTCCAGTTTTCTGTTTGATCTCTGTCTAAATACTGATGGTGTAAACGCGACGTCTCTCATGGCTCAAAATCAGTCACGCTTGCACAGACGTATTTACTCCTTTTCCTTCTTCTAGATTTTGAGTCCTAGTAATCCTTCATATATATAATTTCATTTCATCCTTTTAAACCATGGCCTCAATCTGTTACTACATTTGTTACTACATTAATTCAACTACTTTGCTGTCTTACTAATGTGATATTATGGTGTGTGCTACTGATGTCGACAGACATAAATAGCATGTATCACCGATCAAAAGTGGAATGTCTGGCGACAGAAGGTTGAGGAAATCTAAGGGAAGAGAACGAGAACAGAGAGTGATTCTTATGGAAACGAAGGAACAACAAAGTCTGAGAAAATTGATGGATGTTTTGCAAATGAAGTATTACTGCATGGTTCTCAGATTTTACTAAGAGATTCCGTAATTCTGTGTTCACATAAAATTGGTTATCCCCACTGGTATTCTCGTTCATTACAATCTGATAAATTGAGTTAAGTCATATTTTATTATGACAGACTAACAGTTTACACAACAATTTATCTTAAAACTGATGTTTCAATTAATTTAGCAACCACATTGCTTTGTCACTATATCTTGGTTGAAGTAGTCCCAAATTTCATATTACCCAATGATTTAAAGTATTTTTAACGATAACTAAAAATTGAATTGTTTAATGACTACTTTTTGTGAAATTTCTGTTGTTTTTATTTTAAGCAAACATTTAGAGTTACTTATGATATAGTGACCGGTTGGTTAAAGGCATTCGATTTCCAGCCATTAAGTCACAGATTGAAACCCGGGTTTAGCTTATTTTGTTCAGCCAGTCGGTTAAGTACATCACTAGTTCTTATACAGTTAAAACGTAGCTTGAAGCTAAATACTCGATTATTTACCTCATATTTCTTTATTTTGTGTGAACACAAAAGTATTGATACAAATGGGCATCAAGATATATATATATATATATATATATATATATATATATATATATATATATATATATATATATATATATATATATATATATATATATACAACACATAAATATGATATTGTGAAGATATATATGAAGGATAGTAAATACAGTCGAAAAATAACTGATGAACACGAGTAATAGTTGTGTTTTTTTAAAGTACAACCTGAAAAAAGCCTTTCAGCTAGAGAAATTCCTCTCACTTTTACAAAGAAAGTATTTAAAAAATTTACATTAGAACCACCATTGGTTTTCATTCTGAGCCATATCGTATAATGTCTCAATCCACTGAGTTGCACTATCTCTAGGACTCCAATCAAGGAGTCATAAAGGGCAGACAAATGCCATTCGTGTTCAGCTTTGTTTCATACCATGGCATAGTGTCATAAACTGACCTTTTTCGATTTTTCTAACTAGTCTCAGTGTTGGCGAACACAGTATAATGTGAAAGTTTCTAGAGTGACATTCGTAGCACATGTCCAAGCCGTTGAAATTACTTTTTCAAGATGATTATGCCAATCGGACTATCATCGCTGTTCCAGAACACACATTACTAAAACTCCTCATTACTACACATAGTGTTGTCACTGAATGGCAATGATTCTGAGACAACGACGATCGAATACGTAGTAAATAAGAAACTAAATTTATTACTAACACAACATCATAAACATTTCTTGTCTGGTAATAACTAATACACAGTTGAATTCATGAGTCGATGTAAGATAGACTACCATTGGAAACCTGGAAGCACTGGACGACCGTTTCGTCCTAATATGAAACTCTTCAACCGTATGCATCCATGGTCCTACACGCGAGACTCAAACCCAGGACCTTCGGTCATGTACGCAAACGCTTAACATATAGATCATTGAGCCGATTGAATACCTAGTAAATAAGGAACTAGGTTTATTACTTTCACGACATCATAATCATTTCTTGCGTAATAATAATTAATACAATATAGTTTAATTTGATCTTTATACACTTTTGTTTCCATGTTTACAGTTTCAATAATTGATGCCTCACGAATTGAATTGGAAACCGTCAAATCAATCAGTTATTCTCAATAATAATAATAATAATTCAGATAGATATTATGATCTTTTGTATACACTTGTTCTTTTGTAATAAAAAAAGAAAACGAAACATTTGTATAATCTAACCATGATTTCGAAATTGTTATCATCATTACATTTCTTGCATCACTGTATAAAATATAGTCCATATATATAATCAACACCGTTTATTATATGTTGTTATATTATTACAAGAAGAATATAAAAACTATATAAGCGTATAAACAAACCATTTATGATATGTTATGTATATTCATTTTTGAAAGAAATACAGAAACGTTTTCTTGTTCAACTGATATATTATCTTTATGTGTTGTTTTCTATGCATCATTGGGTTTTATTATTTGGGATTTTCATTATAGTTAAAGTTTAGTATATATATATTTATGAATATAAATAGTCATAATTACTTAAATTAGTTACATTAAAACAAACATAATGAAATAGATAATTGTTAGTTATTTTAAATTATACAACTTTTATCAACGTTCAATTACATATTTATTCAGCTTTGTTTATATGAAATTTAATTCATACTTCTTAGTTGTTCAAGCTGAATTAAGATCAAATCTGTAATTTATTGGTTTAAAAATCGAATACTTTTATCATTAAGTTTGATCATATAAATAATATTCTTGGATTAGTTGAAGTTAGATATTAACACTATTAGATGCCGGCACAGTAGTCTAAAGGTTAAGTGTTCACAAGCGAGATTGATAGGTTTTGGGTTCTAATCTTGTGGAGTGTGATCGTCGATGCGCACTGCTGAGAAGTCTCATACTAAGATGAAACAGTCGTCCAGTGTTTCCATGGTGGTCTAGCTTCAATTGACTCATGAAACCAGTTATTATTTATTTGAACACATAAATATTGGTACAAGAGGGCACCAAATATATATGCGCCACACAAAACAATGGGAATTTAAAGAGAAGGAAAAAGAAAAAAGGTAAGGAGCGTTAAAAAAAGATAACGATAGCAAAGAGATTGGTGTAAGGTAGTGTAATAATAATAATGGGGTAAACGGGAAGGTACAACCAGAAGAATTCTTTCAGTTAAGGAAGATACAACCACTTTTTACGAAGAAAGTAAAAGAAGGTTACAGCAGGATCGCCACTGGCTTCTATTCTGAGCCATATCTGATAACGCTTCTAGCCTCTGTGTAGCACCATCTCTCGGACCCCAGCCAGGAAGTCGTGAAGGACTAACAGAAGCCAGCCATTTGCAGCTTTCTTTCATACCACGACACCATGTCATACACTGACCACCTCTCCACTTTTTCCAACCGGTCCCAGAGTCGGCAAATAATGCACGACATTCATCATGAAGCCAGTTACTAAAAATAATATTGTAAATTAGGTGTTTTACCATTCTCCAACTCATATTTTTTTATTAGATCTTACAATGATTATTAATGGTTATTAAAAATAGATAATTCGATGAGACTATTATTTAGGGACGATCCAATCAGGTGTAAGATAACAGGTTTTGGAGCGAAATTCACTCATCTATTTGGCTAATTAGAGTTTTGGGATTATAGTTGATGTCAGTTCGTGATGAAAACCTTAAATTTAATTCTTTACCTTAACAATCAACCGTTAACCATAGTTCTAATTCCCCACACTGGTTCATACCGGACCGGAGCTGCTACCTTGACGCGGTGGTCGGGCTTGCCTATCGTGATGACCCAACCGAGCTATATTGGATGGAACATATGTTCCTGTAGGTTCTACCATGCCAGGCAGGTCGATTGGAGAACGGTTAGACTAAAAGCAGCAACTCAAGGTCTGAGGGCGAAGTCGTACTGCTGACTGTAGAGGGGTGTGACAGCAGTAAAGTGTTTCCCTTGGACAACCAGCATCTGCAGCGATGCTGCCTTCCCACAAGGAAAGGTGGGGTTAGAAAAGGTCGACCCTAAAAATGTCACAACTCACCTTACCTCACGGATATCCGTCTCCGGCGGTAAGGCCCTATGAAGGACGGAGCTAACACATTAAAAACCTTCCACGAAAAGGCCGTGGGCGACCGGCCTCAAGCAGTTGTCCCTTGGGTTCTGTGGTCACGCTCCCAGGTCGTTAAGACCAACACTAATCCAATTTCCTTCTCAGGTTCCTCAAGAAATACCCTTCCACGGTGTGGGCAGCCGGGAAGTGATATCAACCCTCATACCCGTAACATCACACGAGACCAAGTTGGTTACATTCAAATCCTTCCTACACCTTTTAATACCTCTCTTATCTCTATGACTAACCCTCCTCACGTCTCTTTATCACCTCGCGCCGCTAGGGCAAACGATTCGAGTACGTGGAACTCTATCCCTGGTCTCCTGAAACCACGCTCTAAACTACACGTAGGAGCTTTTAACGTCCGAACACTGTGCCAAATACGACAACAGGCTTCCTTAGCTAGGACTTTAGAATCTCGCGCCATCGATGTGTGCTGCGTCTCCGAAACGCGCATACAGGATCCGAGTAGCGTTATTCATTTGACCTCACCATGCCAAAATAAAGAACCGACTCGATTCACACTTCGTGTATCTGGAAGCCCTGATTCTGCTTCCCGTGGCCTCGCTGGCGTAGGTATAGCATTGAGCCCTTGGGCAGAACTAGCTCTCTTAGAGTGGATCCCAGTAGACAATTGTTTGTTCGCTATCCGACTGAACGGAACAGTAAGGTCGGGACATTCGTCGTTGCCTCTTCGTCGTCTCTGCCTGTTCTCCCACTGACTGCAGCGCAGATGATGTAAAAGATGAGTTTTACAGAAAGCTCTCCGACCTTCTGCGAAAAGCTAGGTGCTCTGATGTAGTAATAGTGGCCGGTGACTTTAATGCTCAAGTAGGTAAACTAAGCGATAGGGAAAGACACCTGGGTGGATCTTATAGCATCATGGCTCAAAGAACAGATAATGGCGATCGTCTGTTGCAGCTATGCTCAGATAACCGCCTGTTCCTTGCAAATACTAACTTTAAGCATAAGGAAAAACATCTTTTAACATGGCGACCCCCTAATTCGTCCCAACTTTGGACCCAAATAGATCACATCGCTATCAGCCACCGATGAAGGGGCTCGATAGAAGACTGTCGCTCATTCAGGAGCACATGCTTAGATTCAGATCATGCTCTCGTACGAGTGAGTATCTGTCTGCGTCTTACTGGACGTAGGAAAGACGCTGCAAGTAAACCTCTTAGGGCCCTACTTAATGACAGTCAAGCTGAGTATATTTCATGAAAAACTAGAAAAACTGTTAGGCAGCCATGTATGTAATGCCCACTCTGAGGCAGCATGGAATGATATCCGGAAAGCTGTGGAAACAGCAGTGATATCTGCTAGTAAGGTAACCCGTACGGTTAGGGAACGACACTGGATCTCAGCAGCATCTATCGCACTGATAGATGCTCGGAACCTCATTCCACCTGGCTCTGAACATAATGAAGAGCGGAGTCAGCTTAAGCGCAAGCTGACAAGAAGTCTACGCAATGATCGCGAACAGTGGTGGGTAGCGAAAGCAAGAGAGATGGAAAAGGCAGCGGCAATAGGTGATAGCAGACAATTGTTCAGACTTGTTAAGGAAACCGGAATTAGGAACCCGACTGTTAGCGAAAAAATCTCAGAGAAAGATAGACATATTATACATTCTCAATCCAGGAGATTTGATCGACGGGCAGAACATTTTAGGGATCAGTTCAACTGACCTTCAGCCACACTTCGGTTCCCAACGATCTCCAGTCAACCTGAGTGGCAAGTTAATGTACGTCCTCCGTCTCTTAACGAAGTTGAAAAAGCCATAGGAAATCTGAAGCGAGGGAGAGCAGCAGGCCCTGACAGGTTTACTCCTGAGATTTTTAAGGATAGTGGTTCAGTATTAGCAGTGAGATTAACTGAGGTCTTAGGTAGGATTTGAGAACTGGACGTAATCCCATCTGACTGGTCTCAATCACTGATTGTGCCAGTCTATAAAAAAGGACAAAAGTCCTCTTGTGACAATCACAGAGGAATCAGTTTGACTAATATAGTGTCTAAAATATTAGCTTCAATAATACTTCGACGCCTAACCAGAGCTCGTGAAGTGCAGAATAAAGAAAACCAGGCTGGTTTTCGACCTGGACGTGGTTGTATAGACCAGATATTCACACTACGTCAGGTTCTAGAACACAGACACACGTTTAGATGCTCCACAATCGTAGTATTTGTCGACCTTAAGGCGGCATTCGACTCTGTTGATCGTGAGGTTCTATGGCAGTGTTTGTCACTGAAAGGAGTACCAAAGAAGTACATTAACCTTATTCAGGCTCTCTACTCGAACACAACTGGTAGAGTGAGAGCTTATGGCGAACTGTCATCAGAATTGATTACCTCAAGTGGTGTTCGTCAGGGCTGTCCAGTCTCTCCATTCTTGTTCAACTTTGTCATTGACGTACTTTTAGAGATGACACTTTCCTCATCAAAATTTACAGGGTTTGAACTTCTACCGGGAGGTTCACTTGTTGACTTAGAATATGCTGATGACATAGTTTTATTTGGTAAAGACACTAACAAAATGCAGAGTCTTCTGACCACTCTAAGGACTCAAAGGTTGTCCATAAATTATAGTCTCAGCGATAATTCGTAGGTTGTTAGTACTTGATCGTAGATACTTTCGGATCATTTCTCATATATTTTGGGACCGTTGAGGTTGGACGCAGGGTGCTAGGTAGAGATGTCAATTCGATCGAAGTGTTTGAGATATATGCACCGATACCCACCCGCCTTTTATTTCAATGCGCGTGACGGCAGTCCATGAAGCCATTGACTGTTGGATTGAACTTTGTTATTAGGTCCAGTCTACTTAGTTGGGGTCCTCGTGATTATCATGTTCAGACGGGTGATCTGGCTTTTCGAGTACCATTCATGCAAACTAAATTTCTACTCATTTAAATTTGAACTCTAAATTCATCTAATACCAGATGATAATTAATTTTCTCTGACTATGAAAGGAAAACTGCTCATTATTCGTTTTGATATAGCTTTGTTGAACCTTTAAAATTGTCTGTTTCATGGAGGATTTTATGTGGATGATTGATAGGTATTCGTGTTATTTAAATAGGGTTTACATAACTATATCTGTTGGGTTTTGTGGATGCATACTACTGTAAAGTCTGTTTTATACTTGAACGAAGTATCTCTAGTACATCCTCGTTTTCAATGTCTAACTCAGATCAGCTCTTAATGTGAATTATGTAATCCAACAATCTCCACAAACATTTTACAGTAATAGTAAACATGCTCACTAAGGACTGATTTCGAGAGGTAATTCCACTA